TTTTTGGCACATCCAGGCACTGCCTGATGAATGCATCATGAATTCATTCCCATCGATTCAAATTATTGATAGTCTCAATGACTGCCTGTGTAAGCGCTCCGGCTTCAATACAAAGAACAAATGGCTGCGCCAGTCATGTGGTACTACGGAGTATGTATGTATACCTGTAGCTCATGCTGAAGTTAATTATCAGTGTCTGCTTGAGAAGTAGTTGACAGTTCACAGGTTCCAGTTCATCCTTTTTCTATGTGCCATGTTTCTTGATAAGATAGCTACCTGTTGGAACCTGTTAGGCTTGGATGCGTGTATGATGTAGCAGCCCACAGACAGCCACTTACGGAGTACTGTTGGCGGTGGGCACAGGACCCACAGAAGCCACACGGCCATACAACGTCATCGCTCCGTGGGTCAAGCGACCCGAATATCCAATTTTCCTCCTTGTCTTGCTAGCCTTCTCAATTATTTTGCGCCATTGTGACTGGAATTCGCGTTCTTTATGTAGATATCTTTCTCGAATCACGGCTGCGACATAGCCGTATCTCAAGTTAGCTATTTCTGGCACTGTATTAACTTTTTTTCAGTGTCCTCGATTCAAAGGCGGTATCTCGATCACCTCACTCGATTTCTACAATTGTTGAAAATACGAGAGTTGAAAGGTGTTTTGATGGTTGAGACCATTGTGCCTTGGGAGAATACCACGTTTTTCCGAGACTTAACATGTCTCATAATCAAACACACGGAGGCTTGGGAATGCACTCTCCAGGCAGTTTAAACATGGATTCACGCAACAACTCCTCGGATAATACGCTACCTTCGCCCAGTCAGCAGCATAGGGGGATTCCGGAGAGACGTGGGTGAGACACGAGATCCATTGTCAAGCTGAACCACGATGTCATGCACTATTACATTAACATGCTGATTCGTATGTCGTAGGATCCGATGGGCGCCTCTGAATATCGGTTTGGAAAGGCGTCTTCAGACGTTCGTTGTCCTATGTCATACTCTCACAATTGCTATTTTCTTGACAACTTTCTTCTTCATGTGTGCTATGCCTTTATTCTGGCCGCTACTTCTGCCATATCTCGTCTATATTTCTCTTTTTTCGACCGCCGCAACCTCCGGAAACTTGAGCGGTCGCAGTCAGACCTTGCGTTCGTCTCGAATTTGGTCACTTTATGCCTCCTATTTCCCTGCTCGATTGCACCGTACCGAATGCCTTCCTCCCACTCGGAAATATATATTCGGGTATCATCCCCACGGTATCATTTCTCATGGGGCATTTGCAGCGTTTGCTACAGAAGCTCTTGGCTTCTCTCAACTTTTCCCCGGAATCACAAACACTTTGCTCACTCTCGACTCCAATTTCCGCATCCCATTCTACAGGGAGTATGCTATGGCTATGGGTCTTGCTAGTGTCTCTCGCGAGTCTTGTGAAAACTTGCTCACCAAGGGAGGTACTGATGGGAAAGGAATGGGCCGTGCCATCACGATCGTCGTGGGAGGCGCCCGTGAGTCTCTTGACGCACAGCCTGGCTCTCTTCGTCTTGTATTAAAACGTCGTAAGGGATTTGTGAAACTGGCCATTCGCACGGGAGCAGACCTAGTTCCGGTGCTGGGATTTGGTGAGAATGAGCTTTACGAGCAAGTGAATTCGGAGCAACACCCGATTATCCACAAGTTTCAGATGCTTGTTAAGAAAACTATGGGGTTTACGATACCACTTTTTCACGCTCGTGGTGTATTTAATTATGATGTGGGATTGATGCCGTACCGTCGTCCACTCAATATCGTCGTCGGTCGACCCATTCGGGTTGTTCAGCATCAAGATAAGAACGATATCGATGACAACTATGTAGATGAACTGCACGCCAAATATGTGCAGGAATTGCAGCGGCTCTGGGAAGAGTGGAGGGATATTTTTGCGGTGGGGAGAACGTCGGAGCTCGAGATTGTTGCATAGGTGGTCATTGAGTTATACTCGACGGGTAGAAACATCAAGTATCTGATCTATATACTTAATTGATGCTCCTTGTATATGGAATCGTGAAATGCCCTGATGTACTACTACTCTGCTACATATAGTGTACGAGTGTATGGAGGTCTGTAAGTATAGCAAAGAGTGGCGGCAGCTCGGGTGTTCATACCTAAATAGCGATTAGATAGATAACTTCAGCGAAAGTCATGGGGAATAGTGTTGGGATCAGCGAGAACCAAAGGGACACACTCTAAGAACCAAACTACCTCTATATATGACTCGGACGGCTCGGGCCGCCCGGCGAGGTTCCATTAATTAGCAGAGTATGCTCAGCAGTCTTACACCTTTTCTATTCTGGTAGGTATGTACTTTGCGAGCTGGCAACTCAGAGAATTAGGTATACACTGAAAAATGATCATATCGGGCCGAAAATCTAGTATCTTCCGAGAGGCGCAGGGAGAAGGCCTCGGATTTTCTTCATACGTAACAAAAAAAGGCAAAGTTTGATATTATTATTAGGCTTTAGCCAAAGATCGGGGGAGAGATGTAGTTGCCATAAAGAAACATCGAAGCATCGAAGCTAGTCAAGTACATGTATAATAAATTGCCTTAGGAAAGGCGTTGGTTATTGTCATACACAAACCTAGTGTATAATATATATATATATTCATATCTAGTACACAATTATCAACTAAACTCAGACGACGAATGAATGACGTCTCTCCAATGCCAGTTCCCATCAATATTCTGCCAACCTTTATTCAGGATGGCTCGGTCCCAGCCCAGCATAACAGCCAAAAGGCGGCAGGAGACACTACTAATACCACAGATAACCTTATCTGTCTGCCCCAGAACGGCCAGGTCAAGTAGATAGGCGCGACCAATGAACTCACGGAGCTGCAGAGCTTCTTTGGAGGGCTGAAAGCGATGGAAAGTACTGGGTGCTGCAGCTGCAGTCCCAGGAACAGTGGGCTGTCGCTTGGATGGCAATGGGCTGCCCGCAGCCGGCGTTTTGGGTGGCGCACCAAGAGACCAAAACATATCTTTAAAGAAGCCACCTTCCCAGCCAATATTTTCATCCACAGGGCTTCTCCACCCATTTCCTTCCTGAGATGCGGCAACGGCATCCAAGACTGATTTACTCGCCAAGGAAATATGGAGCTGTGCCTTCTCAGACCCCTTCAGCTCTGAAGCAAAGTATATATCCGGATCGTCCGAAGCGAGGATTATCTTGGAGTAGTCAGCCACCGGATCGGATAGTTTGGGATGGCTGTTGCTTCTCAGAGGCGAGCCTTGAAGGTGCGTCCTGGCTGCCTCGGCATATCTATCAAGTGGTATATAGGATTCCCGATACTGAAATTCCAGGGGATGAAGGTCGCCGCGGCGAACATGAACTCCGATTTCGATGCCTCCTTTTTGACGGACAATATCATCCAGTTCACCCGTACGTTTTGTAAAATATGCTGCGTCCTCATCAGCGAGCTCAAAAAGAGCCTCGTATCCGCTCCGGAGTAGATCAAATATGGGTTTCTGCCGCTGTACTCCACTTCTGCGCGAATCCTCAAAGTGTTCCCTGAAACTATCACCGAATATCCACGGCGCGCTTGCTGAGGAGACGATAAGATGGCGTGCCTGGAGAGGACAAGGTACCTTCTGTGATGGCATAGGAGGACGGCAGCTTGGTTTTGGCGGAGGCTTAAAGTATGTCGAATATTTTCCATAGGCCCAGTCCGTATCGTCGATGAAAAAGCTTCTGCCTTCTTTTTGTGCGAGTCCGTAGCTCATCCACAGAGCCATCAGGGTTTTGCCGAGTCCCGCATCCTCGGATTGCATGACAAAGGTGAGACTTGTCTCGCAGACTTTATTGTGTCCGTCATCTGGCGTTGCCTGCTGAACAGAAGCTGAGCGAGGAAGCAATCCAATATCCTCCGCATCGGCAACATCTATGAAGTTCTGATCCCGACGATAGTAACCAAAGGCTTGTGTCTTGTTGTGTGAAAGACGTCGAGAGATTTCATCACATTGTGAGCATAGTTCGGCATACTGTGAAGGTGACAGGGGAGACTTTATTCCCGGTGGGATTGAGATTGTCCATTTCTGTCTGCCCTTCTGATCAGTAATCACTACAGGAGTAGCGTGTGCTGGAAGGATATCAGTTCCGGTGAACTGATAGATCTTTCCACCACCTGACCAATAACTAAGTTTACTGTCGATGAAGGTGGTATCTGAAAAGCGCCGTATCAGATGGAGGAGGCAGACAGCGCTCACAAGCCAAACTAGCAGGCGAATCAGTCTGCGTCTCCAGCATGTGGTGGATTTCTTTCCATGACGCGGAAGGATAGACGGAAGGCCTGGCGAGGGAAGCGGGGAGTCGATGAGCGGTGCTAATAAGCCGTTACTCGACAACTGCTTTAGACAAAGTGTATTGGCAGCGAAAGCCCTTCGAATAGCCGTTTTCTGAGGGTTTCGGCGGGATGAAATGATCATTTTATGTTCCGGGCGACAATCCTTTCCACCTGATAGCATGCCGTAAGAGGAAAACCGGATTGCAACCTGGACAGCTCCACAACAGCCAGGTACACTGTCAGGATCTGCAATTCAGGAAGATCTCAACGATAGCCCAAGGCGGAGGAAAATCTGGTGGAAAAGTGATCCTCTGACCAGGAAAAACGTGCTGAAGGGAAGAAATCAGAATAACGCGCCGTTCAGAGAACAGAAAAGGGAAAAAGGCATCATCTCATTCCCAGACGAGAAGCAAATACCAATAATTTGCTCTTGATGCCCATTCGAGTTATAAAGACATGCTGGGAAAGACGTCTGTGTATGTCCAGACGCCCGACAGCCTGCGCAGCAGTCGTCACTACTTCGATAACTTGAACAGAACGAGAGCAAGCCGCTCCTCTGACGAGAATAAAGACGTGCAAGAGTCAATCTGGTAATGAAGGCCGCAGCGCTCCGCGAGATAAACCACGTTCAACGGGTTTAAGGATAGTAAAGAATTAAAGGGCGTCTAGCCGCTCGAAACCACAGTGGCAAAATGAATGGAAGCAGTTTGAACAGTAAATAGATTAAGAGAAAAGAGGGAGAGAGAAAGAGTCACGAGGTGCTGCCCTATGACCTGGATATTTTCATAATCCAATCGATGATTCAGAATTGAAGGTTGGAAGAGCAAACATAAAGAATGAGATGATTCCCAGCATGTGAAAGCGGCACATCCAGGGTCTTGCGGATTCGCAGAAAGGTGGAAAGAGTGCCACAAGGAAGAGACATCGAGTATGGTATATAGGCTGAAACTTGAAATAATATGTGCACTGGCAGGAGCAGATACAAAGAGCCTTAGCTACGAACTAAGCTGCAACGCTTAAGGTGAGTCTCCACCTGGACTCGCCCAGGATGAAAGAAACAGTGACAGTGGTACGTCGATGACGTGACTCCTGGCGGATGCATGATTGGCAGTCAGCAGGAGGCTGCGTGAAAGAATCTCCCCAGGCGTTCGAATGATTGCAACCGTTTCTACCGTCATTGTTGGGATGGCGATCGCTGAGTGGGCGCGTGCGAAGATGAAACACAGAGTCCGCTGGCTGTAACGCCGGCTTCGAGACCCGGCAGCGAATCACCGTTCTGTGTGGGGGTTTCCAGATGCTGGATGACGGACCGGCCGCCCGCCCAAGCTGGCTAAGGGAAATCCGACTCGACCGGGCCCGGCTATCGGCCCACAGGGACGGAGTAAGCCGTTGAGCTTAAGTCTGCAGATCAGCTACATTCGGATCTTGGGAATCCTGCACTTCTTTATGGTCTCAATCCGCATTGCCATCGTCAATCATAGCTTTCTAGCCTCAGTGCCCGTAGTCATACTGTAGTCCGTACAGAGCGAGGGGCTAACCCGCTCTTGCTAGATCAAAGCAGGGCCAGATCGCCGCATCAACATACGGAGTAATCCGGAAATTAATCGAGGAGATCCTAGTTCAGGGTACGGCGTACGGAACAGAAGACAGGAAGCATGACACTGAGCTAAGTCTGACAGCATCTAGATGGAATGTCATGAAGATAGAACATTATTGAAGGTTACACATAAAAAAAAACCTGGGTATCAGACACCAAACACACCAGACAGGTAGAAAACAACCAATGCAAAAAAGGAAAAAAAAACGGAGTTACGTTCCCCCTCACAGCGAATCGCACCGCACCCTATTGTTCATTAGGATATGAAAGGATATGAAAGCGTCTTCTTGAAACGTAACGCCATGGCAACCGGATCGAAAGAAAAAGGCCCACCGGCGGACGAAGAACATTCGAGCAGCAGATAAGGGGATAATAATATGTCCAGTGAAGAACGAGGATGGAAGTAGGAAGATAATCAAAGAGATCGCTCAGATGTCCTTGGGAGCCTCAGCGATTGATGTTCGCTGGCTGGAGGGCGCGGTGTTCACACCCGGACCAGTAGACACCAAGGATTCTCTTTGACTGGCAGTGTCACTCACGACACGCATGCTTCCTCGCGAACTCTTGATTAAATGACCGCTCTCAACCCGGTCTTGAATCATCTCGTCCAGCATTCGCGACACCTCATCCACACTTTTCCTCTTTTTCTCCTCTTCCTTTTCCGACCCTTGGGGATCAGCCGGATTAGCCGAGCCCGCCGGGGCAGTACTAGCAGGGGAACTGGTGTTACTGCCACTGCTCCGACGCCCTGCTCTCTTTTCCTGCGCAAGAACGTCGGCGGTCATCTGCGCTAAGTCTCTTTGGCGCGCCGCTGAACGGAGAGCAGCGAGCATACGGTCCTTGTCATCGAGCTGAATACGTAGCTCCGAAATTTCCATATCCTTCTCACGGAGCAGGGCTATCAACTCGGAATTGTCGCCATTTTTGAGTTGAGAAAGGCCCATCGAGATCCGAGACTGGCTCGCGCGCCGTGCCTGCAACAAACGTCTTTCCAGCGTGGAGATGTAGCGATTCTTGTCCGCGAGATCAGCCTGCAATGCTGCGACTTGCATTTGAAGGCTAGCAACCCCGTCTCCAAATTCTCCGATTGTGTCATCGTCGTCATCGTGTACAAAGGATGCACGTTGATATTGTATACTCGAACGATCGCCGCTGTTGAGAGACATCTGGGACACTGTTCTTCGCAAGGAAGTGGCGCCGAGGGTTGATTGGCTCGCGGATGAACGAAGAGAACGGGTGCCAGATTCGGTAGATATTCTGGACAGCCTTTCGAGACCTGAGGTACCAGCGTGGCTGTTGACCCCGGTAGATTTTGACGAAAGTATAAGGCGATTAAGATGTTCAATTCGCTCCTTCAGCGCAGTTCGAGCCAGCTGCATCTCGAGCATTTGCTCTTCGTGGCGTGCTTGGGCCTCCTTTTCTAATTTCTGTTCCTCCAACTTCAGTTCATTTTCAGCTTGAGCCTTGGCCTGAGCCTCAAGTTGGGCACGAAGAGACTGAATCTCCATGCGATAACGTTCCAGCAAGACCCTGCTACCTGCATCGCCGCTGCCTCCGCCATATGCCTCCTCCGCTCTCTTGGCATGACTAACAATGTTGTTTTTCGCTCTGGCTGCAAATTTCAGAGTGTTGAGGGTCTCGTTGGTATGTGTGTTCGCTGAAGCGCTGCTGCCCGAGGACCCAATCTGGATAGTGCAGAGAATGCTAACCAGAGAGTTTCCCGAGAGCGCGGGTTGCAGCAACCGAGTCAACTTGCTGTCACGGTAAGGCAAATGCTTTCCTTGATCGGTTGGGTTTCCATGCTTGTCTCTACTTTCTGAAAGTCTGGCAATCACGGTGCCGAGAGTGAGCAGACTTTTGTTGATGTGGGCTCCTTCCTGGCGGCGCTCCTTGTTATCTGCAGCACGTTCCGAGCCAGCGAGATCGATCAAGCTCAGAGTCGAGACTCTCACACCGCCTGGAGGCATGCCCGAGCGCTTCTCCTGAGAGGAACCGCCACCAGGGGCGCGTTCTCGGCTCTCTACAACGATTTGGACGACTGCATGGCTTCGAGAGCTTCGTGCATTGAATTGCGTGCTGCCTGTTCTTCTTGCATGATCACCTCTGGCAATGACACGGAGCAACTGCGTCGGGCTCTGCACAATCTCCTCTTTCAGGGGCGTCGCGTATACTCCTCTTTTGCTGTCCTCTCGGAGTTTGATCTCTTCTTGCTGTGCCGGACCACCACCATTTGAAGTAGGGGTCGAGAGCAAATCATGGATTTTCTCGTTATAGATCTCCAAGTAGCTAACACGGAGAAGAAACTCCCGGTGCGGAGTCTCCCTGATGTACGAGAAAATGTCGGTGATCGCCAATGGAATCACACCAGGCGATGACGCGGTACCCTGCATGGAGAAGGTTTTTCCTGTTCCCGTCATACCGTATGCGAAAACGGTGCCGTGATAACCCTCCATCACTCTTCGAACCAGGCGTTTCGCTGAAGCGTCGTAGACCTTTGCGTTGTTATCATGGGCGGTGAACACATTATCTGAGAGCAGGGGAAAAGAAGTCGGTGTCAGCGGCCAGATCTTCTACGTCTTAAGTCAATTGAGCTCACCATAGAAATAGTCGTAACTCTCTTTCCCCCTGTAAGAAATGAGAGCCCTTCTCCCATCCACCAGCCATTCTCCATCAGTTTTTGAGTTTTCTGATCCGCCTGTATCGGGACGAACTCGGACACTGACGATAACATTGCCTTTTGATTCCTTGGACTTGGCGGATTTCTTTGCACTAGCAGCGTTCTCACCGGCATCCAGTCCATGTCGATCGGCATCTTCTGGATCATCGAACGTTGTCGCACTTGTGGAGTACGAGCCCTGAGCTGACGAACTCCTACTTTGCGGTGGGGACGGAATGCTAAACTGACCCTCGGAGTCCCGGGGCCCGGATCCACTTGGGATGGACTTTCCGTCACCGTTGTTATTCAAGAGAGATGGAGTCTTGGAACTACGTTGGCCGCTGGTGGTCCCTGAACTCGGTCTCGATTGTTTTTTTGCCTTCACGCTCCCTCCAGAGGAACCGGATTTGGAGAGATCCGGAGAGCTGCGCTTGGTCGATGGTAGTTGCGACGTTGAACTAATAGAGATTGAAGAGGCCGTAGATAGCCTGGCACCAGCTTTCGGGGGCTGGGGAAAGGCGGCAATGCTGACTGTCCTGCGGAGAGTTTTATCCGAAGCATTGGATGCTACAGAACCTGAAGTTGACCTCGGTGTGGCAATGCCGGAGGTCGAATTTGATTGACTGGTTCCGCCAGCAGAGGGACGTGGAGATGAAGGTGGCCGGAGCCTCGAAGGTGTCTGAGATGGAGATGGAGACACTGCCCTCTGCGTGTCCGAAAGCGCCGACAAAGTCCTTGGCTTCGCCGCAGGCAGTGAGGATAAAGCCCCGGTTGGTGTACTAGCACCATGACGTGATGGCTGAGGTAAAGCGGATGGAGAAGCCATGTCTACTCTCCAGAGGCTTCGAATTGACCTCCGGTTCCAGAAACCGGGAAGAGGGAGGGCTCAGCGTGACGGGCTATGTTTTGTTGAAGAGTGCCATATGCGGGAGGATGCAGCAAGGTAGGGAGACGAGACGCTTCTGCGCAGCGATGCGGAAACGTTTTCGCTTTCCAGCAGCTGAGAAGCGTCGAGTGTCGTCGGAAGTTCACCAATGTCTTCTTGAGAATGTCATCTGTTCCGCGTAGCCTTGGATGTTAGCACAAATCGCATAAACTCAAAAGCAAAGAAAGATTAACAAAGAGGTTGTGCTGGACGCGGTAGTCCTCCCGACCATGAACCGCATAGTAGAAGGCGCAAATGGTTGATGGAGGTGGGATGTTTGTGCTGAGGAATGGCGGAACTGACATCACCAGTAACCGAGATGGAACGGCAGCAAGAACTCGCGAGTGAAGTAAGTATGTATGCTCTCGAGGGCTCTCGCGTATCTGAATATGGAGTTGTTTCAGAAAGGATACTCTCCCAGATCGCAGGACGGAACGCTGGAGGGACGGAACGCTGGAGGTACGGAGTACGAGCGATGTTTGTTGATCGATAACGTGGGTCCCTCGGTGAAAGCGATGCGGAAACAGAACGACCAGGCCGACTGATAAGTATCTACCAGGCGGGAAAAAGAAGGGATTCAGAGATAGGGAGATTCCTGGCGACAAGGAGCAGTCAGGTGGGAGCAATCCCTTCCCAGGCGCAGGAATATCCAGGCTGGACGCGTCGTGTTGGCCGAAGGAGAAAATACTCAGAAGGGGGGGAGCACCGAACAGGGGGAGCACTGGCGGCACCCCGGGGACGGGCTGGCGTTAGTGAGCCAGGTACGGAGTAACCTTGGGTAGCCTCTGGTTGGCGTTTCACAATCGCCTGCCTTTTTTCTCCTGCCTGTCAAAACTTGCCCCTCTGCCTGGTGCATGCACGCATACGACCTGCGATGGATGGATTCTATTTGATCGCAGCCATTGGTTGCCGTCACATCAACACATGGCCTCAAGGGCTGTCAAGGGCGGTTCCCATTCGAGCCACCCCGCTGCCGCAAGACGACGACTATTCTACCCTATCTGTTAATATATGCGAGGAGCGTGAGCACAGGTTCGCCATTATGGTTGCCCAGCAGACGCTGGTAGCCCGACTACTGACTAGCGCGTGTAAGCGAACAGGATAACCAAGGCACGGGCCACGGCAAGGAGGAGCAGCTTATCCGTCCCACTGATTAAAATTAAAATCTGGCTGTGAAGAGCGAAAAGGGGCGCCAAGTTCAACCGTGCCATGCTTGCAAAGGCCCCGGACCCGTTTTGCCGAGTAGACAGAACCTATCGAGTCCGTTCTCCAGACGGGAGTACTCCGTCTTGAGCTCATCCCTACCTGGGATGGTGCGTTAGATATTAACCTTGGAACCGGAGCGCAATCACCCCGTCTGGTTGGGTGTCGGCGTGTCGCGCCCGTTGCCGCGCCAGACAGTTGGGTATTAGAGTTGAGCCTCGTCTTTGGCATCTGCTAGGCAATCACGAGCCAGTACTCTGTAGTCAAGGACGAAAAAGGGGCAAGTTCATGATCGTTAATTGCACTTGACAAGCGATGGGATGGACTGTCTATTAGACTATTAGTCGATGCCTGACAGCGTGCAAGGGGCGCGGCCTCTCTGGTCTTCCTCGCGTCTCTTCTGCAACCCGGCATTATTATTCGCCATTCTTCAGATCAATCTTCGTGAGTATTATTGCAGAACCCCAGTTGACGAAGCTTAGACCACAGACCCCTGCTGATGGCAGGCATTAGAGCCACACGTTGGGCTGGCCCCTGATCTTGTGTGGTTCAGAACGGACAAATCACATCTGTGCCCTGGTGCTGTCAGAATGCTCAAGCTTATGTAGGAGATATTTCAAGGCGTCAACTTCAAGCCCTAAAAAGGGCCTGGAATCTGGATGCATCTGCCGAGTCCCAGCTCAGGGACACGGATTATTTCATCCTGCATATGGAACCGGGAAGAAAAGGCCGTGATTGGGAGAGCCAGGCGAGTCTAGTCCGAGTTCTTTTTCCCGAAGCAGGCAAGACCATCAACAAAGTAGGGATGCTGATGCTCTGAAAACGTTTCATGATGTACGGAGTATGTCCACTGTGTTAATTAACTACGATGCAAGCCTTCCCCACATCGTTATCCTGATATCTGGTCTCCTGTAGCGATGAACTTCAGTGGTAATAATGTCATAAACAATACTCCGTACTCATTATAATATTATTATTAACCTTAATAATGTTCCGATATCTGACATCCCGGTCTTACTAGACAGCGGTTCTAAACTTCGAAAGGCAGCTTGCAGCGGCATTGTGGCTTGAAGAGTCTTCTAGTTAAACCCTGCATAGCTGTCAACCGGCAAAATCTTTCCTCACATTTCATTATTTCATTATTATTGTTATTTAACCAAGATTGTTCACGTTTGTTTTTGCTCGCGCTTCTATGCGATATACGGTTCCATGAAACTAATACTATCCACCAAGGACTCCGTCGATCTTATTCTTAACAGTAGGAGAGCTCTATATGTGTCGTTATTTAGCTAAAAGTTAGTCTATGAGACCCGTATTTTGCCAAGGAAAGATACGAAGTATGATCCTCCGTCAAGTGCCAATACACAATATTCATCACACGGTTTATTTGCATTTTATCCGTTTGGAGAAATGCCTCCCACCGTCTCATGCAATAATGTAAACGACTCAAAATGCTATGGCGTCTCAATCCTGTCATGCAATTTCACCTCCAGCTTCTTTCCCATGTCGAACGCCCAGAAACCAGACTCAAAAACCCAACCAAGGAATTGCTGCAAATAGACCAAAAAAAATCCACCCAACCAAGGAATTGCTGCAAATAGACCAAAAAAAATCCACCACATAATCTCCGGTATTTAATAATAATTGTCAATCAATCGTGCTGGTTTATCAATTTGAGACTTCATTTCATAGCATCAAAATTCAGCTGTCGGGCAACGTTTTTAAAGCGGCCATCGTCAGTCTCTCCGCCCCTTCGGGATAGGTCATCACCCATTTTCTTTGCACCACCAGACTTTCGTGGAAGTTCTTCTTTTTTGGTCGGCTTGGGATCACTTCTCCACCAACTGTGCTCCAAGATCTCACGTGCGGTACTTCGCTTTCGTGGATCCAGTGCTACCATCGACATCAACAGATCTGCCCCAAGTGGCCCGGCGGTCGGAAACTGTCGCAAGAAAAAATCTCGCCCCTGCAATGGTACGATGTGGGCTTTATCCACAGGCACATAGTTGGGTAATTTGGTGACTCCCGGCCAGTTCTCTTCCGTTGGCGTACCAAACGCTTCGCAGATCTTCGCAATCTGATCCATGTCTGTATTGCCAGCGACGAAAGGCACACGTAATAAAAGCTCGGCAAAAACCATACCCATTGACCATACATCCACAGCACCAGAGTATTGCCGAGCACCATAGAGGAGTTCGGGGGGTCGGTACCAGCGTGTAATGACCTGGTGTGTCATGTTGAGATAGGGATCAGCAAATGACCTCGCTAATCCAAAGTCTGCCAGCTTGACTTCTCCATCCGACGCGATCAATAAGTTGTTTGGCTTAATATCTCGATGTAATATAAAATTTTCGTGGCAAAACCAGACGGCCCTTGCCAGCATACCCATCCAGGCCTTGACATCTGCTGCACCGTACTGAATATTCCCATCCTTGATCAGCATCTCAAGGTCACCGAGTGGTAAGTATTCCAGAACCAGGTTCAGATTCTTGTCCTTGGAAGAGAAGACATCATGAAGAGCAATGATGTTAGGGTGAGACAGCTCCTGGAGATATTTTACTTCCCGGATTGCGTCCATGGATAGCCCGTCCCTGTATTCGGCGTTCACTTTGATTTTCTTGATCGCAACAAGAGAGGAAGGGTCCGTTCGAAGATGACCGAGATAGACGACTGCGTAGGTACCTTCTCCGAGTTTCTTGTCTTGGACAATATTAGCATGGGGATTTCTGTGAAGTTACTGTGCAGGAGTCCTTCATACCTTTAACATATTTACGTCTCACTTCTTCGTTTAATTGCTCCGCAAGTTCACACTCCCTATGGGGCGCGCTTGACGGTGATGTAGCTGTGTCCTGGACCAAGTTGCGAACAACAAGGCCTTTCCCTTTAGCTGCTGTTGTAGTGGAAACAGTTGCCGCGGACGGCGAGGGCGTCACGATTGGAGATACAGCCATAGTTCCTCAAGATCAGGAGGAGAGGATATATGCTTAGAAGAGTGAAGCTACTGTGATGAGGTCATGGAACTTCGGGAGGCAGATCTGTCCACCAAGAAGAGATGCAAAAGGCACGACGCGACTATTCTGGGGGTTGCATATCATGTCTAGCGAGTTTTCAAGTCATACTGGCGATAGACGTTTATTTATGAGAAGACTTCCCTAACTCCGCCTGTCCTGTGCTTATACTGTAGCCTCGTGGACCAAGGTCAAAATAGTGGGGACGGAGTATCATTGATCCCGTGCAGCGCTGAGCTCGGGCAATTTGGCTTCAGCTGTCTCTCCAAAATTTCTGATGCCTCCGGGCCTCCCCTGTCAGACACAGAGTCAATTGCTACATTTTCATTGCCTGGCAGATTTCCATAGCTTGTCCATGCATTTGACTTTGTTCCGAAATTCACAGTTTTCGGCAATTTTTTAGTGGACCGTCAATTCTCGTTTCCATCCATCCACCATGTCTGTCAAAATGGTTGCTCCCAATCCACGTCTCGGCTTCATGCCGTCGCGATTACTCAACGTTTTTGTCACATCAAACAGATGTGTCCGATGTCTTCACCAGAAATCCGGGGCTCCGTCTGTGCCTTCACCTACGCCATTTGTACCCGACGTTCAGACCTTCTTGACCTTGATCGGCCGCGACATGGTTAAGCATGCCAGCAAATTCTCCTCTTGGGACAAGCTTTTCTCGCTCACATCGGCTGAGCTCCGAGACCTGGGAATCGAACCCGCTCGTCAGAGACGATATCTTCTCCGATGGCGCGAGAAGTTTAGGCGAGGAATTTATGGCCCAGGTGGAGACCTGGATCACGTCGTGAACGGTGCTGCCCAGCTTCGCGTCGTTGAAGTTCCAGCAGACACTCCTATTCAGAACGCGAATAACAGTGGTTCTACTTCTACTCTTCCGGTCACTGCATCTGCGAATTTATCACCGGGTATGAAAAAGGCAATCGTCAACCTTCCACCGGATGCAACAGAATACCACCACGACCCATCAACTCCTCTCAAAAAGTATGCACAGATGAAGATTCATCGTGGGTCTATGATCAAAGGCCCCTATCTGCAACCGATCAAAGGCACAAACGGTTCTGCTGCCTTGATTCGAGTAGTGGAGGGTATGTGGGAAGACAAGCGAGGACATAAAGTCGATGGTGGCGAGAGACGGCGCGCAGAAGTGAGGGCAAAGAGGAGAGCCGCAGAGAGGCGAGCGGCGAACGGTTCATGATATATGATGCAACATGCTTTTCATACTCTGCATCGTCCTTATTTCTGTGATTCTATAGGTAGAAGGGGGATTGTCTGTATACTATATCTGTATCACACATATGGCTACTTTTGCAACTTTAATTGTATTTTCTCATTCCCATCAGCACTGTTCTGTTTCGTGAATAGGTAAATGTGTAAAGCGAATTGCTGGGAGGGCATTTCTGGGATGCCTTGATGAACGTGTACATTATAACAATGATCTCATCTATACTTGTACATTAAATTAGGTAGACATGCAACAAGCCGAAAACAACCATTTATCGGGGAAGCAATCGAATGATTTACAGAATATCGATTAAGAACCAGTACGGTGCCGTAAGGTGCAACTTGATATCTATGCCGCGGAATCGAGAGGAGAACAGGCTAGGGCGAGAGGTAGATTCACATGCACGAGCCACAAGGTACGTAAGTTGAAGGAATAACCAGATTGGAAATAGTGATTATGCTTTGACAGGCGCGTCACGTCTCTCGTACTGAATTAGGGAGTTGGCGTACGGCTTCGAGAACAGAGACTGCATACCAAAGATTAGTCCTAGAAAATTCCAGACAAGTCAAAGATGCGAATGGATGCTTACAGAATAGTCTGTTTTAGGAACCCCCTGAACACCGGGAAGATTCTTGAACTTGAACGTCCTCACCAGAGCAGCAGTGATAGCACCGAGCTGGACATAGGCAAACTGCTCACCAATGCACCTGTGGCGGCCAGCACCGAAGGGAAGGTATGGGCTGCTAGCTCCCTTGCTGACCAAGCCATAACCATAATCAACTTTCTCGTCATCTTCCGTGCTCACAGAACTGTCCCATCGGTGAGGATCCCACTCCAAAGGATTTGGGAAATGCTCAGCTGATCGTGCAGTGACACCTGGTGACGAGAGCAGATTATGAGAGGGCGGAATCACATAGGGAGTGCCTTCAACAGGCATCGGGTTCTTTACAGCGCGGATGATTGAATGAATAGGAGCATGCAAACGGAGGGTCTCCTTGATGACCTTCGCTTGCAGATCCAATTTCTGGAGAGTCTCATATGTCAAAGGGGGAAGATCGGAACCGAGTACCCTGAGTTGTTCCTGGTAAAGCTCTTCCATGATGTCGGGCCGGGAAGCGAGGCGGAAAACGATCCAAGATATTGTCGACGAAGATGAGTGCTGTCCAGCCATCAAAAGAGCGATCATCATGTGTGCGACTTCTTCATCAGGAACTGGTGTTCCATCCTTGTACACGCACGACATCAGGTTCCAGATCATATCCTCCGAGTCCTTTTTGCCGCCAGCCCGGCGCCGCTCTTTGATAATCTCCATGTATGTTTCAGCCATCTTCCTTTGCGCTCTATCACGCTTGCGGTTGTGCGGCAGTGGCGCCCATGGAAGCATGAAATTGATAGGAGCAAAGCCCATGTCGAGGTCGTGATAGAGCTCTGCGAATGTCGAGTCGAACTTATCACGGACTTCCTTCCCTTGAAGCGATCGAGAAGCGGTGTAGATCGTGATCTCCGCCATAGTCTTGCAAACATCGAAGGTCCCTTTCGGTTCTTGGAAAACGCCAGATGACTTAATAAACATGTTCACCTCATCAGTGATGAGCTGGACGTAGGATCTAAGCGCCTCAGAAGTAAGACCAAATTTAACAAACTGTTTCTTGAGTTAGCATTCACCTGAAGACTACCACCCTCGTCGCCTACCTTCTTCTGCTCCATGAGCTTGGAATTCGGGCAGTCGTAGACCACATTCCTCCCAAAGACGGGAGTGGTCAGGGGCGAGTAAACTTCCTCAGCGCAAACATCTTTCAACTTGCCATTGAGGATGAAGTCATTTCCCTTTGTTCCCAAGTAAACAGTCGTCTTCTTGCCGAGTAAGACGAAGGTGAAGATATCGCCGTACTGTTTAGATGCTAGTCAGCGGCTAATCTCCCCTCTTCCTCGCAAACATCCCCTCCTAAGAACACACACCTTTTCACGACACTTGAAGAAGAATTTGTACGGGTCCATGCCATAACTGATTGTGCTGCCGATGAATGGGAACCAATGGAAGACGACCGGGGGCTCGTTAGGATTCTTGAACAAAAGCTGAGCCAAGACATTGACCACAACCGACAGCGCGACCAAAGACAACAGGCCGAGCCCGAATAGGACGTATATGGACTGAGCCGAACATTGCTCGCAAATTCTGTCAAGAATGCGAGAGGAAAGACCCATGATGGCAGTGGCAACTGCCAAAGATTGTAAGGGGACGGACGAGTGGGAGAGATGGCGATTGACAACCGAGAGCGTCTCCTGCCGACGCAGGCTTTAACTTGAAGCGGGCGACGCCTTGGGAGAGGGTGGTGTTGTGTTTACAGAAGCAAACAATAATTGCGGCCTGTACTGGTCGGAGTACAGGGACGTCTCAACCACCTGCAGTCGCTTGCAAGAATCCAAAGGAGCGCCAGTATATTATATTAGTGGGACCACGGGGTCAGGTACCTGGCCTAACCTTCCTAGGGGAGTTACCGAACCGCGCGAAGCCCAGGACAATCCGTGGTCATTGCTGAGCCTCTGTACTGAGTATTCTTGAATGGCTCAAATTTAATTAGTTCGGAAAATTGTAACTGCGTACCCCTGGCTAATTAGTGCTCGTACTACTACTACTCTGCAATCAGCTTCCCGGTAGGCCGGTATCACGCCACTCCCGTCGGACGCGGGAAACAAAAAAAGCGTTGATTCCTCTGCGCACGCGGTGCAGGGATTATCTTCCCACAGAATCTCACAGGGTAATCTGTAAATAATGATTATAGGGAGAGGCTAAAGAGTAATCAATAAATAATATACGCACAACAGTACGGGTATTATCATCTCGTGATGAACGAATTGACCTCCATGGCTAGCTTTAGAAAAGAAATCACTGGTCAAGACTACAGCTATGTGTTCAAACTATACGCCAATATACGTGCGTGTACGGAGTACTTGGAATGCAAACGTCGGTGCACCTTATTATCAAATTTAATGTTTCTGCCTATTAAAATTGAGAACAAGAACTAGATCTGAGGACAATAGTATGATGTTGATTAGACGCAAAGAGCGATAACGATATGTTCTTACTATATGATTGTTCTTTTTACTTTACTGGGACTGTCTCGTCCAGAGCTCTCAACTCTAATCGTTTCTACTATGGAGATCACATCAGAATGGCTTTGGTGGCAGATGAACCGGCGCCAATTCCTGGAACAAAGCAATCACTAAAGGACATCAGCCCAGCACAAGGCTTTATTAAATCCGAACCCATGCAGAATGGTTATAGTTTTCCATTGCAACCAACCGATATCTCCAATGCTTCCAAATTTTAGCGTAAGAAAGCAACACTAGATATACGAAAATTAGGCTGACAGGGGAAGTAATTCCCAGTGCCTGTTGAATCCGGAGGAGCACATATTGGACTTGTGTCATCTGCCCACCACACTTCTAAAGCTTTCAGAATATATGCGGGCATGTGACAGTTGTACCATGTGGAGACTTGTACGTGGCATCGAGAAAGCGAAAAGAGATGATCAGGGTGACTGATGAGAAAATAAAGCCAAGTAGGGGCCCACGGACAGTAGCGTCAGTCAGGAAAGACAGACCCAAATGAACGATCATTCACTTCTTCTGCTGGACATTATGTGGCAGGTCGGTCGGTACATTGCGGCTGGTCGACTCGTCGTCGAACAAGATCGGATCCCCACGACCCCCCATGTTGATGAACTCTTCCGGAGCACGGTTGGCGGCTGGTGAGGGTTCGCGTTGCTCACTCCTTTTGGCAGGTTGATTGTGAACCCGCTTGCCAGCTGCATTCTTACGAAATACCTTCACCTGCGAATTGTCGTCTTCAACAATCTCGCTGACCTCGACATTGTTGATGCTGCTGAGCAGCGTACGTTCCCGCTCGACCTTGCGTTTAGAAAAGTCCAATTGGCCCATTGCCCCAACCAACCCATCGGTGCTATCGGTGACGCTTGGATATTTGCCGGTTATCCAGGGATGTTCGAGACATTCGTCCACCGTGATCCGTTTGGTAACGTCGACAGTGAGCATTCGATCAATTAAATCTAAGGCCACATCGGGAACTGAATCCCAGTATGGAGACGGGTAATCAAAGCGGCCCATTTTGATCTGTTGGGCCAGAGTGTATGGATTCTCTGGAGTATAGAGCTCGTCTGAGAATGGCGGAAACCCACAGAGGCAAATATACAGCACCACTCCAAGCGACCAAATATCCACAGCTTTCGTATATCTTCGATGTCGAGACTCCTCGAGAATTTCCGGCGCGACATCTACTTGATTAGAAACTAGAGTGATACTGAAGGGATAACCTAGGATTGTGACTTACAGCTCGGTGTCCCACATCTGCAAATTGTGCCATTAGAAATTGAAAGAGCGTGCATGAGAAGAAAAGGGGCATCTTACAATGTTGTCGTGAAGGAATCCTCCCCAATGATTTTCGCCAGGCCAAAGTCCGCCAATTTCACATTCAAGTTCTTGTCTACGAGAAGGATGTTCTCAGGCTTGATGTCTCGATGAACAATCCCCCGATCATGCTTCTTGATATTAGCATGGGGTTGTCAAAACGTAGGGACATAAAGGTTCCTCACCAGATATTTCAGACCCTCGAAAAGCTGGATAAACACCTTGCGAGTTTCGCTCTCCGTAAGTTTCTGATTCCTGACGATGTAATTAAACAGTTCGCCTTCTGGGGCAAGCTCAAGCACTAGGTAAGCTCCGTCGCGCTCATCAAACGTATCTTTCAGACATAGGACATTTGGATGATTGACACTCATCAAAAGAGCAATCTCCTGCTGTAGAGTATCCGTCTGTGATCTCTGCGATTCACTCTGGCGTCTTTCGAATACTTTGACGGCATATTTGGTCCCTGTAGCGCGCTCCACGCACAGGTAGACCGTTGCAAAATGGCCTTTTCCAAGCTGCTGAAGGATCCGGTATTGTTGACGGAACCCGCTTGTCTCCCTTGTCCTTGGGTACCGAAAAACGAAACGGGCCTCATCAACAATGGTAACTTCATCACCGTCTTCAAGCTCACGATTCTTATTCCGTCCAACAATAGCTTCATTGACGAAAGTTCCATTGCTTGAAAGGTCTTCCAAGATTGCCACTGCATCGCCGTTTCTCGTTTCATTAAATATTAAACAATGTCGATTAGATATCGTCGGGATGTTGAGAACAAGGTCTGCGCTTCGTTATCAGCTCAATTCTAACCATAATATTGCTTTCACCTACCGCATTCAGGGTGACGTCCAATAAGGAAGCCACTAGGAGGAAAGTTTTGCGAGATCTTGGTCTCCGTAGTCTTTCCAGATCTTTGACTGTTTTTCACGCTCTTGTTTGCTGGGTTGCCATTCCTTCCGCTTGACCTTCCGGGCTCTGTGGGCTCACAGCTACTCCGTTTCTTCAAAACGAGTGCATGCCCAAATTTGTCGTCGAGAGGGATTAAATACCCCCAAACCCCCTCAGCAGCCTCATCTTCGACTTCATCGGCAAATCCTCGGGGTGGATAGACGAATTGAGAAAGTGTCTGGGTATCACCAGGTGGAGATGAAAATGCCGGTGGTTGTTCATCCGAAGTTGGAGTATGACAACCTTCCGCCGGTGTTGCCGTCACTTCCTTCTGGACATCCGTGGTGGAGTCATGATGAGTCAAGGGAGTCGGAAGATAAGTCTTGTTGACAGGCGTAGTAGCTTTGGCCCCGGATTGAGAGGATATTCGCTCTGAGCGTCGCGGTTTCTTCTGATCTTGCGAGTCGTTGTCTAGACTAACCTGTGGAGCCAAGCTGGTTAGTTAGGATGAAACAAAGCAAAGTCTCGGGCTATTCATACCCTACCGCGCTTCAATGAGCTTTTCTCATTTCGAGGTGCCATTTTTCTTTTCCACGGAAGCCGAAGAATCAATCAGGAACGCGGTAGTTGCCGCTATTCAGCTAAAAGGCGCCTTGTGCCGAAGGCAGTTCCGCCAAGCGAAGACACCACAGTTTAAAACCAACAATTCTTTTATCTGAGCATTTTGGCGCACTGATGGTAATTTTTTCGTGCACTATGAGTGCTTGATTCTCCTAAGGTGGCTTGTAATGATCATTCTTATCTACAAAGGCTGGCAGAGCACTGTAGGCTAGTGATGCAGTAGTGCTCCACCCTCCGAACAACTTCCAACTACGGAGTATATACAGCGCTAAACTAGGGAGCCCGAGCAGGTCACGACAGACAATAATCCTAGTTGTAAGAGGTTCTATCTTTTTTCGTTTACACAGCTTCTTGCGTTGTACAAGCTGTCTTCAGATATGGTGTTATTGACTTGGCAGACCATATTTAGCATATCAAGACAGCTCTATTCTCCCGAATATGTGTATCCTCAGCAAATAGCACTGGATATGCATATATATAGTAGTGCATTACACAAAAAGGGTTATATTACATCATTATATAAATTTTCTGCGGGCTTGGTTACGTGTGAGTTAAAGCGTATAGTTCCCTCAATGCCCATGCTACAATGAATTGAGGGATAGGGACACCATGCAACAGAACTAGTCTCTAAAGTTGAAGGATTGTGTTGAAATGCAATAACAGAAAACATGCATATGCTTGACCATGGTTAGTACACTTGCGGCACAGCTCATATCTTCTTATGTAAGGCAAGTAAGTTAGAATTGAGCATTATTGATAAATTGAGAAACTCAACCATCATACTGTGTACTCCGTATATATTCCTCTGTGCATTTACATATCCGTGCTGGTACTAGTATAGATCTAAGCCAGGTAGTCAGCTGTCAATACTATATGTCCTTGCTACGTAATCGATTACTCACTATGAGGGTAGTAAAAAGGAAATCAGGCCGAGAGTCAGGAATCCCTACGATGGAAATAACTTCTGCCTGGCCTGCTGTCTAGAATATGAAATGGACCTCATCAACGCATACACATGACATCCCCTCACAGCTACTCTCTTGTTGTATTATCTTCCAGTACATCACAACTTTTTCTTGCTCCCTTGTCCTCTCCTTCCATGGCTTCCAGGAGGTCATGCATCGAACAGTAGCAAATTAAGTCTATGTCCAACATTGTCGAGCTGCTCCAATACATTTTTGGATCGTAAGATTCCGATTTCGAAGCTTCCCAGTTTCCAACGTTAAGGTACCTAATACTGCGCACATTCTCTCGGGACTAGGAGTGCCTAACCCGATCGGACCATAGCACGGCGGCGCCAAACCGGATAAGGCAGCTCCGCGCCTCAGGTACAGAGTACGGGGTACAGAGACCTAGTATACCTGGTATGGTTACGTACCTAGGTACCTTGATTCTGCTGTATTTGTCGTTGGGTTACGCCCTCGGTTAATTGCCGGTAACCAAGTTCATACAAAGGTCTTTCCTTTGTGATCTTGGACCCGGGAGGTGCCTAGAAACTGCAATGGATGCGTAAGCTCAGACCTTTGGATTCCCGAATGTCGCTGTGCTGACCACGTTATTGTTACAGGTCCTCCGTGGACGTAAGGCGCTCAGCCTTCGAGAAACTCGCGGCGCTTGGAGTCAAGTCAAAGGAATATCACGGGGAACAGGACATCAACCGACTCCTTAAAGCATGCGGTGGACCGAAGCTGCAATCCAATGGTTCTTTAGACGGTGTCTTCAGGGGCCAGGCCCCGACCTCTCGAGTGCCCATGGTCCGTCTATCGACAAAATCTGATCTCTTCTAGCCTTTGGTATATGAGGGCTGACTCAGGAACAGACCATTCGAGAGCTGGAAATTCTACTTGCTTTGTGCAAGACCTCACCGACAGTGTCTCATCTTGACCACGCGGTGAGATTGGTTTCGCAACTTTCCGAGTACTTGCCCGAGTCCCATAGTCAGCTCTTCCGGTCCTCTCCATTCCTGGTTGGCATCAAGCCATCACCATGGGAAGAATTAACCCGCAGCCTGACAACTGCCCTCCTTTCGTTGGCGTTGAACCACCCTTCTCTTCAGGACACAGCGGCGAATGCTGTTGCCACATACTTAGCAAACTGCGCTCAAGCAGTGGACGCCATCGCTCCTGGGCCCAGTCAGCGTTCCCGGGCAGACGATCCCGGCGAGCCAAAAGAGTCAGCGGATATAATGGCATTCACAGTCTCCTTCGTTGGGTTTTTGGAGGCATCCGCACCTTACGCTCATTTCTGGACGGCTGCGCAGAAATTGGACATAATCAAGCAGGTGCAGGGAATATTGTCCGAGGGTTTTCTGGTGGCCGTTGAGACTGCTTCATCCACAATCCGTAATTCAAATACATCCGACCATGTCTTGCGAGATTGGAGAAGGTATTCTCGACGCTATGCAGCCCAAGGTCGCCCTTTGGGTGCTATGTTATTACAGCAGGGTTTTATGAAGTTTGTTAAGGCATGCACAATCACGACAGTCTTCGGAGCGCAGACTGTCAATGATGAAAGGCTTCTGGATAACTACATGACCGGAGTAGCTGTCCCAAGAGGCAACAGTGATGACGCAGAGGGTGCTCTCGTCAAACATTTGGTGAATGCCATTGCAGAGGAAATCCATCTCCTCGAAGACGGTTCTGATTATCTACAACTTGGTTCATCTTGGCAGCAGGAGCTGGCATTCTCTGTGAAAGCTTCGGCTCTTGTTGGCTTTCTCAACTGCGTTATATTGGATGAAGAATCAGCGGATATCGAGTTGTTGCTTTCGTGGCTCGAGGACACCCTTGCTGATGCAAACCAGATGGCGAGCTTTGACTTAGCCACTGTTGCTTTGAAGACTGTCGCTAGTATCGCGAGATTATCGCCTTCCAACGCTTCAAATCTGAGTCGTTCCTTGCTTAGGTTTATTGTCCAAGGTGGAACGACTGGTCCTGTTGTTTCAGTGGCCGCCCATTGCCTTGCCCAGGTCTTGAATATTTTGTCTCAAGATTCCGTCATCACGACACTATATTCATTAGGAAATGTATTGAGTCCAACTGCCACAAGCACCGAGAAGTCCGCTCAGTATTCAGTTGACACTCTTGAGAACGGCGCCAATCCTGAACCCTACGCGCAACCGACCAACGAGAGCGTGATTTCTCTTTCTTGCAATGGCGAGGAGGAAACCACGGTAACTCACCGCAATGTCATCCACGCCATTGTCACGATTGCTACTAGCTGTAATGATGATAAGATCACTGCATTAGCGCAGTCGATGCTCCTTCAGAAAATTGGAAAAATCAATATCGTCGTGGACGCCTGCATCATTCAAGAGACAGCCACTCTGGCACTGAGCAACAGTCTAACTGAGTTTCAGCTGCTGCTCAAGTTTTATACCCGTCTCCATCGAGAAGGGCTTGCCAAGGGCCACAGTATAATTCTTGACGCCGTCCAGAATGCGAGAACCTATCTCTCTGTCAGCCTGAAACGAAACTCTTCGCTTTACAGGATTTACCTAATTCACCTCTTGGAAAGCATTGTTAACAAGGGAGATGTAACCGATCTTGAACATGACCGACAAAAAGATATTGTGCTCTCGCCAGATGATATTACTCCCCTTCTCAAGCCTCTGGCACTTCTTGTCTCCTTGCGAAATGAAACCATAGGTGATCCTCCCGAGATCTCTGAATATGACGAGGATATGGCTGCTCTATTCAGAGACGCTTGGTTTAATATCGCAGTTCACGGTATATCGCTCAATTCTGATGTTGGCCGACGATATTGCGACGAGCTCCGTGTTCTCGCCCAACACTCACCTCCATTGGTGCCCGAAAACCGGACTGAGGTTCTGGAGAGTGATGTAGAGCTGAACACCATTCTGAGGCGAGGCATGGCACCTCACCGAGTCGCCGAGCAGAAGAGGATGCTCATTAGCGAATTACCTGACCACGAGTCTGATGTCAAACGCCTGAACTATCCAAAAACCATCTTTCTGAATGCAAGCTTGCTTATTGAAAGTTTGCGGGCGTCCTCTGGAGATTGCACAAAAATTCTAACTTATTTCCTCGACCCGATGCTGAATACATCCGAAATGGGCGGTTGTATGGACGCTGTTGCTGATAAGGCTGTCAGCATTTACTTGGCAAAAACCCTGTCTGGGAAAAACGAGGAGTTCTCGGCCCCATGTCTGTCAAAGCAGCTGGCTGAGATTTTTGTGGCCTGCTGCCATCGCATAGGCAGGGTGCAGGAAGTTGCCATCTCTTGCGCGAACAAGATTATTAGCAGATCTCCTTCAGCATTATGTGAAAGACACTCGCTATTCGCCTTGCTGGACCTTCTGACTGTCATGTGGTCATCTTGCCTTGAGGGAGAATTGGATGAGTTTGGTTGGAAATCCACTTTCACCTCCTCCAGAGGCCAGGTTAAGGTTGAATTATCCGACAATTACGAATTCAGAAGACGCACACTAGATTCGTTTTACATCAGAGCTAAAGGTTGGGTGACGACGGTTGTAAATATTGCGCCGCTGGACGTTAAGGGCCTCTTGCAGGTGAGTTCGATTAATTGGTGCACTGCTTGAGACGGAGTTGACTCATCGTACCGCAGACGTATCTTTCAGAGTATGAGGATGACGGAGCATATGGCCATATTTCATTAGGCCGCTCGTTTGCTCTGGAGATGGCATCTCTTATTCCCCAGAGTGATCAACGACTGGGTACGCGGGTTGCCCGCAAATGTACACGTCCGTCTAAACTGACAACTTTTCATTCCAGGTTCCATTGACAATTATGGCATAGACACGGTCAACTTTGCGTCTGATTTTATTGCACAGTACACTACGCGTCAAGAATACCGATATTCAGAAGTGCCGCCAATGAGCAGTCGAGCCAGCATGGCTGACAAGTCCAGTTCGTGTGCCCAACTCCTGTGCTGTCATTCCTTCTCTAACGATCGAATCATCAAAGGCCTGGAGATCCGCGCCACTGCGTCAGACACATCCCAAGCTGTCAAAGATATGGAAGTGATCTTGGCCCATCTTTCTGATCAGATATCCAATGGGATCGATGTCTCTACTGACGAACTTCGCGAAGCGTTGCGGCGGGCCGCTGCTTTGCTATGCAGTGGCAATGAAGCTCACCCTTCAATAGTTCACTACCTGGTCGGGATACCCTTTCAGAGATTCACAAAGGAGTCAATAAACTTTGGGATCTCACTCTGGCTCGGTGTAATCCATGAGAACCAGAACACGGAATCTAGAATCCTGGTTGAAGTGGCTGAAGCTTGGGAAAGGACCGTTCAACGCAAGAAAGGAATTTTCAATCCTTCCTTCAAGTAAGTGCAAATGTGAATCGAACAAGATGCGTCGCTGGATAATAACCGAGTGCAGTCATCCGGATCCATTCGTCACAAATATCGAACTTCTACCTACAGATAAAGCCTCCATGCTTAGGAAACAGCAAAAGGCCCAGGATATTCTTTCTCCACACTTACGCATTCTTCAATTTTTCGAAAGCCATTTTAACGCTATCCGGCTAGGCAGTCCGCACTCACAGAGGATATTCTGTCGCGTGATCAGCAGTACTCTCGTAGGCCTGAAAGAAACATACGGACATCCCCTAGCTAGAGAGGTCCACTTTCACATCATCTTGTTCGGATTAAGAGTCCTCAAGCACTCGACGACTCAAAGCGCCATCTCAAAATGGAAATTGAAAGATCAGATTCTGTCGGCCGCTCTAAGTTGGTTCAGACATCCGCCTAGGTTAGCAACCTTGCAACAATTGTTGAATATCGTTATTAACGCCAAGCTTCTTCTAGGTGGTCTTTTGGCGGCAACCGACTGCAAATTAAGGCCGAAGACAAAGTACTTAATGACGTTGCATCTGCTCTAAAGAGCGTTGCCAGCATAGGCTCTGCCAATTCGGGGTCGTATAAAACGTTACAGAGCAAGCAAGAGCTGCTACAAACTCTGATTGAAAATGAGCGGGCACGTCTCAAAGTGTGGCTCTACCCACTTGAACAGGAGAAAAGACACTATATGCCGGGTTTCGGTAACAAGAATAACCCTGAGGTTAGTTATACCTCTAGGACCAGCTGGTTTGACGCAGCTGATGTATCGGTCTTAGGGAATTGCCTCGTTGCTCAGAATTGCATGGGCGGAGAGTGCCAGCTTGGCAATTCAAATAGCAGCTCGGTTCCCATCAGATAAGATCCGCAACGACGTGCGTTGGTTGCTTCTCAACTTCCCCGAGAAGGCGCTGGACGTGCCAGAGAGTCTCGAAATTATGTTCGGCTCAGCTTTACCAGCGGACATTTCCTTCCAACTCAAGGTTTGTCTTTCGGCCACTTCTTTGCGGTCTTTTAGGCTGACACGGTTTGATAGTACTTATTGTATTGGGCTCCTGTGCCGCCCATTGAGGCCCTCACATATTTCTTACCTGCCTATGGCAACCATCCATTCATTTTACAATACGCAATGAGAGCGTTAGAGAGCCACCCCATCGATGTCAGATTTTTCTTCGTTCCCCAGCTTGTCCAAGCCTTACGATACGATGCCTTGGGTTACGTGGAGCGATACATTTTCGAGTCCGCGAAGCTGTCTCAATTATTCGCACACCAAGTGATCTGGAACATGAAAGCTAATGCATACAAGGATGAAGATTCTCAAATTGTAGGGGTTCCAAGAAGCTCTCACCTATTTTTTGTTACGGCGCTCGCTGACTGAATTGTAGCCTGATCCCATCAAGCCCACATTGGATAACTTTATGGACATGCTGGTGTCGAGCTTTTCGAGCGAGGAACGAGACTTCTATGAGAGGGAATTCTCTTTCTTCAACGAGATCACGGGAGTCTCCGGGAAACTGCGACCGTATATCAAGAAGAGTAAGCCTGAGAAGAAGCAAAAGATCGAAGAAGAATTGCGCAAAATCAAAGTTGAAGTTGGGGTGTATCTTCCCAGTAATCCGGATGGCGTGGTCGTCGGGATAGACCGCAAATCGGGAAAACCGCTACAGAGCCATGCAAAGGCTCCTTACATGGCCACATTCCGGATCAAGAAGACTAGGCGTCGAACTGATGATACTGTGGACAAGCCAAAGACCGCGAACCAGAGGGCGCGAGATAGCACGGCTGATTCCACAGTCCAGGCGTCAGCGGATGGAGGCCAGGAAACGTACGAAGTCTGGCAGTCCGCCATATTCAAGGTCGGTGACGATTGTCGGCAAGATGTGCTCGCCCTGCAGATGATTGCGGCTTTTCGAAGTATTTTTGCCAACGTGGGACTCGACGTCTGGGTGTTCCCATACCGTGTCACTGCTACGGCACCTGGCTGCGGGGTCATTGATGTCCTCCCCAATTCGATCTCTCGTGACATGCTTGGTCGCGAAGCCGTGAACGGGCTGTATGATTACTTTGTTACCAAGTATGGAGGCGAAGAATCTACGAGATTCCAGGAGGCGCGAACCAACTTTATCAAGAGCATGGCCTCCTACTCGGTCATCTCTTACCTTCTGCAGTTTAAAGATCGACACAACGGCAACATCATGATCGATGATGCCGGCCATATCATCCACATCGACTTTGGATTTTGCTTCGATATCGCTCCGGGAGGGGTTCGCTTTGAGCGGGCTCCTTTCAAACTGACCTCGGAGATGGTGGCGGTCATGGGTGGTGGACAACACCTGGCTGGTGGCGGAGTCTCCAGCACCGGAATCCATCTCCCCGGCACTCACAGTCATGACCCCACGACTACCCAGCCATACCGATGGTTCGAGTCGCTTACAGTCAAAGCGTTCTTAGCCTCTCGTCCGCATGCAACGAAGCTGATGCATATCGTGACGATGATGCTCGACAGCGGCTTGCCCTGCTTCAAACCAGACACCCTGAAGAACTTCCGCGACCGGTTTGTGCTCGACAAGAGCGAGCGAGAGGCGGCAGATTACATGCGGGAGCTAATCCGCAAGAGCTACCTCAGCTTCTCTACCAAGGGATACGATCAATTCCAGCTGATGACCAATGGTATTCCTTACTGATCCGCAGCGCGGCAAAACAAAGATCAAGTCAGGCTACAGACATGATCTCATTACATTCACCCGGATGGTGACTCATACAGCGTATCGCAGATTTTGTATCTCAAGTGAGATAAACATGTGATATCGAATCCAGATAGAAGTGACAGTTCCCTTGCCCTGGTGGATCCAATTCCTCTAGTCTGTTGATAGTTGTATATAATATATATAGAACTTAATCAATTGGAGATGATCTCGATTGTCAATCGATAGGCAGTCGGAACTGTTTTCTTTCGCTGGATTTTGCGCGAAGACGAAGCGAAATATGGGGAGACATGGATTGTTATTGTCATGAAGATGTCGGCCCGTTTCCACCTGTGACGTCAATCCGCAGCTTCGGCCAGGGCGGGCGACTTGCAGGTCCAACCCGCATACTGACATTGCTGCCTGTGTACCTGGGCTCGCTGCTTTTTCCTGATGCCAGGTCTCCTGCATTCATTTCTGTCTTCAAGGACGACTTGACAGAACACCACTTGGCAGGTACATACATCTTATGCAGAACGTTCTTGAGGCTGGGACTGGGGTGGGGAAGGAGGATGAGAAATGATGATGGGCTTCCATTGTTTCTCTCAACACAAATTATAATGCAATGCCATAGCGCACAGCAGAGAAACGGCTACAGCGGCCGGCATGTATTGAAAACTTCATCTGGCAAAAGAGAGCCCCGGGTGCAGCTGGTATCGTTCCTCGCTGTGCCCTCGTCTTTCCGATGAGGCAATGATGTCTGCCTCCATTGCCACTCTTGCCTTCAATGGGCTCATGTCGCTGCTTCCTCCTGGATAATGGCAATATGGCCGCCGTCGTCACCGGTTCCAAAATGGTTGACAGTGCCACCGTGTTTTTGAATGGCATTCCCCCTTCGTGGTCACAGAGACGACGTACAGAACCTGTCCCAGACTCTTGTCCTGCATGTGGAAGGAAGCAGCAGACCATACTACGGTATTTGTAGCGTTTGAGGAACTTGTCGTAGCACCTATCTCATACTCCGTCCTCTTTTCGCCCGCTTCCCCGGCTTCCTCTCGTAATGTCAGATCGGGAGAAGATCGCAGGACCGTACGATGATGTTTCCATTCCTTTCTTGACATGGCGATCGCTAGCACTGGGGGCTTTTGCCTCAATAGGAGGGATGGTTTTCGGCTACGATACGGGTCAGATATCTGGATTCCAAGCCATGAATAATTACCTTTACCTGTTCGGTCAGCGCCATGCCGATGGACACTATGCTTTCAGCAATGTTCGTTCCGGGTTGATTGTCGGTCTGGTAGGTCTTTTCTCTTCGAAGAAGCCCCTGGCGATGCGCTTGTGGTTCGCTTTCCGGTCCTGACCCTAGTTCTCCTTTACCAGCTGTCGATTGGCACACTCAATGGAGCACTACTGGCCGCTCCTCTCGCAGACCGTGTCGGTCGCAAGCTATCCATCTCGTTCTGGTGTGTGATCCTCTGTGTGGGGATCATTGTCCAGATCTCCTCGTCGAAAGGGAAATGGTACCAGGTTATGATCGGTCGTCTAATCACTGGCGTTGGGGTGGGTGCGTGCTCCCTGCTTGTTCCCATGTACCAGGTGAGTGTCAGGAAGAATGATGATAACGATGATGGGGAGCTTGGAGCTAACATTATGGACCAGGGAGAGTGTTCTCCTCGACACATCCGCGGCGCAATGATCTGGTAAGTGCGGCTTTAATCTTTCGATTCCTCATCCACAATCAGGATATTCTAACGCGTGTTCAGCTCATACCAGCTATTTGTTACGTTGGGAATCTTCGTCGCATATTGCATCAATTATGGCACGGAAGGCATCCAGAACACTGCCTCTTGGCGTATTCCCTTGGGGATCACCTTCCTCTGGCCGTCGCTTCTGGGAGTTGGGATCTTATTTTTCCCGGAGAGCCCTCGCTACGATTTCCGACACGGACGCGTCGAGAAAGCGAAGCGTACGATGTCTAAGCTTCACGGAGTTCATGAGAATCATCGGATCATAGTGCGCGAGATCGAGGAAGTCAAGGCGCAGCACGATGCCGAGTTGTCGACCAAGGATGAGCCGTGGTACGAAATGTTCCGGGCTCCTCGGATGGCATATAGAATCGTCCTGGGCATGGCGCTTCAGGCCCTGCAACAGTTGACGGGAGCAAATTACTTCTTTTACTATGGGACTACGACGTTCAGAGGCGCTGGCATCAGCAACAGCTTTGTCACGCAGATGATTCTCGGGGCCGTCAATTTCGGCACTACCTTCGGAGGTCTTTATATTGTTGAACATTTTGGTCGCCGCAAGTCGCTCATCACTGGGGGTATTGTCATGTTTGTCTGTTTTATGGTCTATGCCTCGGTTGGACACTTTGCGCTCAATGTCAAGGACCCTCCAGCGACTCCTGGAGCCGGTAAAACCATGGTGGTATTTGCGTGCTTGTTCATCACTGCTTTTGCCATGACATGGGGTCCGATGATCTGGACTATCGTCGCTGAGCTCTACCCGTCCCGGTACCGAGCTCGGGCGATGGCATTGGCGACGGCGTCCAACTGGCTGTGGAACTTTCTGATCAGTTTCTTTACTCCGTTTATTGCCGGAGATATTGATTTTGCTTATGGATACGTCTTCGCGGGCTGTCTCTTCGTAGGCATCATCGTCGTCTACGTCTGCGTTTTGGAGTCGAAGAACAAGACTCTCGAGGAGATCGATATGATGTACGTCTTGCACGTCACGCCGTGGAGGAGCAGCAAGTGGGTGCCTCCTCCATCTTCCGGCGATGATGATCGTGTCGGCGACAAGCTCGTCACGACGGAGCAGATTCAGAACAATTATCGAGCAGCTGGCAACAAGGAGCGGGTCAAAAGGGGAAGAAGAGTCGGTGGTGGTGGACTCGACGAGACCGAGAGTGCCCATATTGAGAATCTTAATTCTCTTTACAGACTTCCTACGTTTTCCTTTTCCTCATTTTCTGTGCCTAATCTTTTCCCAGATGATAGATAACCTAGAGACGATATATTCTTATTAGATGAAAACTGTCTGTCTACCATCTGTCTAACCTTAGTGCCATCGTGACTTCACCCCAGTAGATCGCTCGTTCAAGATTGACACGGGCAACTATAACGTATATATACTCTGCCGAACTATATCTATATCCATTAAGCACCGTGCCTAAAATTATATACATACAAGTCACAGCGTATTATCCGGTTTCATTTCTCACAACATCAACATGTTATAAATATGCAACTATATAAGGTAGAGGGAGTACATATAGCCCGTCCTTACCCAGGCCCAGGCCATGCCAGATGACTGACGGAGAGATCATCGATGTTCCGATTATCGATCGCATCGCAAAGAGCTTACGACATCCGTATGGCACGGCGCGCCTTGGGCCTGCGTTGTGATCCATCCATCCGTCTTTCAGTGAGAAATTGATTAAATTGCTGGACAATGTATAATAGGACAATGGACGAAAGAAGTTAAATACTACCTGACGGAATTCAGCAGAAGGCGGGCGATTAAATATTTAACCATATCTACGACTATGGGGCCATTTTTTGTCAATATCTGCATTGCAGTCTTTTTTTTTTTAATTTATTATCCGCTCTTTTGTTCCAAGTTTCAATTGCAAGTATGCAAGTCCATAAGTGGACGAATGGATGCATGACGTCTGACGAAATGGGAAATGCTGACATCGCCGAAGGCCTAAAGGCTGAACTGAATGAAGAAAAGAAAAAGAAAACGAGGGTTCAAAGGCCAACAAATCGAGACTGGAGCAAATATCACAAATCGAATAGGTTAATTGACATCATAACTAGGATCGAAGAAAGAGGCATTCTGTCAATTCTGTGACAAGTCCTCTTTTTTTACATCACAAATGCCTTGCGTTTCCCTTTTCCCTGTACCTATGAAATGCCCAGCCCACATACTGAAGAGCAGTCTTCCAGAACATGCCTGTATAAATCATACATTGCGAGAAAGGGATAAAGCCAATTTTGAGTGAATCGACATGACTGCCCGTTTGCTCGTGCGGAATAGAGATAGAATACGCCCACGCCCAGAACCACCTTATTTTTCCACAGCCCCGCTGTGAAAACAAACAATAAAAGGTCAAGCAAGAACCGATATTTGTAATGTCACATACAGATCCGAAATTCTTGCGCCTTTGCGCCGTTATGCGCACTATCGATGGAGTTTCGTTTTGGATTCGACGTGTTTCGTGTCGCCTCAGTGGAATAAGTCCTGGTCATTTGACTAACAGAGGTGAAATAAGGAACGACCAACTCGCCTAGTAGTTGGAGTTAAATATCCTCGGCCTGACTGATATCACTTTAGCAGGAGATGAGAGACGACTTCTCCTGCAGCGAGAGTCAAAAGGGTACACTCCGTACTCTGTTCAACTCGAAACGGTGCAACACATGATGATAAGGCGGAACTTTTCTCCACTGGAATCTGACCTTTCCTAAGAAACTCAAAAGAGTATCTTTTCCAGATGAACTTTTCAGGGAAAAGAAACCGGACGTGGTCGTCTAATCCATGAAGTCAGCCCGTAGGATCTTCTCTTGGAAGAAGTCAGGCTTGTTCTGTCTGGGTTCCTTTGGTATTTCACGTGCCGGCTGCTCCATGATGGCGATTGAGGCCGCTCGCTGGTGATGAGCTCGCGGACTAACTGGAGATGTTTGCCGAGTCTGGGGTGACGTGGAGAACATTCCCGCGATTGAAGGGGCACGCTCGGCCCTGGTCCGAAGAGCCTCAGACCAGTTGAAGCCCTCGCCTAGTGGTCGCCAGGATAGGTTAGATCTATTGTTCTTGGGATAACTTTTGCTAGTACTTGCAGCGGCTGAGGATGCAGAGGAAGGATTCTTAGGGTTGGCCAGCCATGTGGTCTGGTGCTTCGCCGCCATGGGATATGGTCCAGAAGAGGAATATCTACCATTTCCAGTTCCGCTTCCACCGCGAACCTCACGTAACGCTTGGGCGCTAAACGAAACACGCCTTGCGAACGGAGAGGCTTGGCTGTTGGGAGGGGTGTTTTCGACATCATCCACGGCCTCTTCGAGGCTCGCAGAGTTGGACCCTACCGAGCTCGACAGGCTTTCACGCCGCATGGCTCGAGTTCCAAACGGAGACGTCTGCGTTGGGGACCCGGACAGCCCCAAGGTGGTAATAGACAGGCGTCGTTGCTGGTTCGACTGAGCATTGGCAACAGCCGTCGTGATGGGACTGGGGAACGGTGGGCTCCCTGCCTGTAGATTCATATTTGCCCCAGAACCTTTGGTCATGGCAAAGAGTTCGGTAAAGGAGGCACCCGGCGTGAGAGAACCACGGCGATAGTGATTAGGATATGTGGATGTAGGAGAGTGTGAACGGTCGGTTGACATGACGGAAAGGCCCGACGTTAATGAATTGAGAGGCGGAGAGCTTGCCAGAGAAATTTCTCCGACCAAGAAGGCTCGAAATGACAGAACGAAAGACCAGAATACAGAAGCGCGCACGTCAGGATCGACGTGGAACCGACGTGCTATGTGTTTCAGGCCATCACTGGCGGGTGACGTCAAAAACCCCGATCAGTGAGGGAGTGGATTCCAGACACTAGAATCCCATGAACCGAGTTAATATGAAGTTTCCGTAGGGGAAAGAAAGATGAGAGATTGCAGTAGGTAGAAAGATGTATGCGCAGAACGGGGTTGGAATGATCAGGACCGGGTGGCATGATCGTAGCCCTAGCAGAAACGTATGACTATGGGGGCGATCGGCGGAGACAGCATCCGCAACGCTGTGGGGGAGGGGTGATACAGGAATCAAGACGACTTACCACTCGAAATCTCGAACTATGGGAGCTGATGAAACCCTCGGGGACGCTGAACGACAATAATGGAAGAAAGGAAGAAAAGAAAGAAAGAATGCAGATGGTGAGAGGGGGCAGGAGACCAGAGAGGACAGAGAGCTGGAGGGGGCAGCGAGGCTCGGCCAATGGAAGGGGGTGAGTCACGGCAGGGCTCCTTCCAGTCCCAAGCTCCCTTCTTGCCGGCCATAATCGTCCATGATCTCTGCAGGAGCGACTGACGGCATCGCGCAGGCAAGCTCTGCTGTAGATCATGAAGATGGGTTCTAGAGCCCGATTTACCCCACAGTTCTGCCTGGGCACACCGCGGACGGAACAGGCTTAGCGACAACGTCTGGCCGCCTTAAGGTTCGCCGGCATGCTGCATTATGCATGCTGACTGGACGCGCTCAACATGGTGATGCCACGACCTGGGCAGCGATCTAATCTCCCTGGTAGGGCATGGATTAGTGCTGGACAAAGGGCTGGGTGCTACAAAGAAATTAGTTTATGCCGGGAGTCCAGCATTCCTATTGGTGAAACTTACTGGCAACCCCGCACCGCTACCCCAGATGTCATGTTGATCACAGGCCGTTCCGTACATAGGTACCATCGGAAGACAGCTCCCAGAGAACGAAATCGGTTACTCTGCGGTGTCACCTAGCCTTATTGCATGTGAATTCCTTGTGCCTGGCTTTCTATTGGCCCCTGGCCGGACTGGTCGAACGCTACCGCATGCCGGGATGCACCTTATTCCTAGCCGAGTCTGACGGTTATTGGTGCCTCGATTCCATCCATGCCACCCCCTCCATCTCTAGCAAGAGAACTAGATGAGAATTGGATACTCGTGGAGGACAGAACTGTCGTTTGCAGCTAAATAGAGTTTTATCTGGGTTTAAGAAGAGCACAAAGAGTTTTACTTCACTACCCTTTATCCTGAGGACACCGAGAATCCGTGGAATATTATTGTCTTGCAATCGGGCAAGTGTTCACGTGCCCCATCCATAGAAGAGCCACTAAGAGAGACCAACTGGATCTCGGATGGTTTTATTGTGGATGTGGTTGGTCTCAGATTCAATCGGGCGCGATGAATCCATCTCCGCTGGTGTATATGGAAAAGTGCTTTAAAAATGAATGGAAAGACGAAAGGAAATGACAGGTAAAGAACCTCGTTATCGCAAAAAGCAGACGAGCAGAAGTGGCGGCATGCGTGGCACCGTCCTGTACTACATTTACCCCAATTGATCTATTCACATTATGCATGTCCAGCATGTCCAGCAGATATGGAACGTACTAAATTCTAATTCGATTCTCATAATTCCTATCTATTGTATTTGATCACCGCCATGTACCCAAGGGTATGTCCTTCCACTTAAACTTGACAAAAAAAATGCAATAAAAATCGAGCAAACTCTGTTGCCCAAAATGGAAGGTCGGGGCGGACTTGCCCTCGGTTTTCGTATAGATAGAGAATTACTATATGACGTCCATGAATCTAGATTTTACCCATTTTCAAATGATGCAAAAGTTTATTTATTTTTTTTAATTATTTTTAAAAGAAGCAATCCGCTCCCATGGCTTCGCGACCCATGGTTCGTTGCAAACATACTGCTCCATTGCCTGGTGATCAGACGGGAGAAAAACAAGGAAGGAGCTTGGTCACGAAGCGGGGTCGATCAGATCCGGATTGACTCCTGAAGCTGCTCTCTGTTCTACAGCCTGAGTCTGCAGTCCGCCAAGCTGCATGAATCACCCAGATCTCTTACTTCGGGCGTTGGGATGGGGCTGGATAGCTTTGTGGCTGCCCGCTGGATGGTGTTCTTCGTCTCGTCGCTTGAACGTGAAAAAACTGAGTCAACTTCCTCCCGACGCTGGGCTCTATCTCGATGCCATCACGGGCGATCTTAACCTCCATGTTAGCATTCCAGGGGTTGCAAAGACCGAGGTGGCTGGCCCTATGAGAGGCACCAGCGTCGATCTCTACGCCAGACGCATTCTACTTAATCGCCAAAGAGGCAATAAACAAGAAAGAAAGTGTGCAGCAAGAGATAGCATTGGGCATTGTCAGGACGGAAAGATCCTTACTCCCGCTGTTATGCCGTACGGAAATCTCAGCCTTTGGCATTGAATTTTCCTTTATAAGGTAGAATTTTGCGGATTTCTCTATCACTAGCTCTCTCCGTTCCCCTGTAAAAACTTGAAGGAGAACCACAGGACAACGACTTCCTCTATCCTGATATCATGCGATGCAGAATTCGTCTCGAAGTTAACAGTTATTTGACGTAGACTCGAACGAGCACAAAATGCCCTCGAGGTACCTGACTGACGTGGACCACACGTCTCCTCGTCCATAAAGAGGAAAAATGGATCGTAATTCTAGCGCCGTTAAAGCAGCCTCATGAATCAATCATTGGACCTTCAACTCGTCCTTGCCGATGACGTCAGTTGCCGTCTCTCTCCTCTTTCCCCTGGTGGTACCAGTCTCATTCAACTTGACAATCTCGTCCTTCTTGACTCGAGGATGGATGCATAAGTGACCTGAATCTGCTTGTCTTGCATTGGGAATTCAACAGAAAGCTAGAGAAGCGGATCATTCTGTTTGGATCGGTTTCTTACTACATACATACCAGCTTGTGCAGAACCTGGAAGTAGGAGTGTCTCGATTCCCTGGGCATATTCGCTCTCCAGTCCTTTTTCTCTAGAGCTGTTTCTAAGGTTCGCATACAACACAATGGCCGTAAAACTGAAACATGCAGGAGACCTGATTGTTTTCCTATTTCGCAGCGGTATCTTGGATGAACCAACATTGGAATATTAGGACAAATAAAGAAGGTTGGCTGGATAAGTCTGGAATGACGCAGTTGATCCACCATCCCTATCGACCAACGCGTTGTCCGCTTATCAAGAGCCAGCTCCAGCGCCACGGGACGTATGTGGCGCCAGCATCCTTGAACTCACCGAAAGTTCCAGATTTGGTTTGTCAGAAGGCAGATTGCAGTTGTGGTTACTCTGTACTGACCTCCTACATGGGATGCTGACCGACACAAGTTATACTCCGTAATACCGCCAAAATGTCTGTGGAAAGGCTTGTTTCTCTTGAAGACCAGCCCAGATCCACCCACCACATCAATGCTATCGTGAGCGCCCTTTTCCTGTAGGCATATAGCATGACGTATATATATCACCTCTGCCAGAAATACGAAGTATACCGGTGGATGTGCTTCCCCATCAAGGTGGGTTTACTGTAATTAATTACCATAGCAGGAAACAGCAAGTAAACTTGCACTGAACTTATGTCATATAGACAAAGTAGGTAGTAACTGGAAAAGGAGGAAAAAAAATCAACAGTGGTAATAAAAGAGGCGCATCTGTCTATCTGTTTCTTGCTTGCTTGTTTGCTTGCTTTCTTGTTTATTCGTATAATACTCCTACATACATATAGGCATTTATTTATATCACTGTGTACCACCAAAGGCACCAGACCAACCAACTGAAGGGTTAGAGTATTTAATACTTCAAGAAGGAACAAGGAGTTCCAAAAAGACTTGGGAATCAATCAGGAGATGAATGACAATGAAGAGGAAGGGGAAAAAGAACAAAAGAATAACGACAAGGAAGTAGGGGGTGGTATTAATGATAAACACAGTGAAAGGTAAGAAAAAATGTCGAGTAATAGAAAGTGACACACTGGACACTAGGATATAAAATATAAGAAAAAACAAGAAACTCCATACTGATCATTGACAGACAGGAGAAGAATATTAATGCTTAGGTCGAATGGGAAAGGGGAGTGAAAAAAAAAGAATTAACATGAATCTGAGAACAAGGAACAAAAAAAAAGGCGGATCACATATTCGACAAAAGAAAAGAAAACAGAAGTCGACAAAGAGGGCCGACCCAATCCCATTCGTTAAATTAATGTTGCCAACCAATATCCCAACCATCGAACCATCATGATCAGAAGAACATGTCATTAGATAGTAAAAGTATTATAAAAACCAATTCAGAGCGTCAAGTCATTTCCAGACTTCACCTGATATTATCTATCAACCCCAAGGGACGCAACTTTGCCAGCAAATCTCGCGCCAGCACTGCCCCTCTTCTGAAGCTTCTCGCGCTCCTTGTTGTCCAAGGGAGCAAGAGCATGCGCTGCAGAGTGTGTCCCCGATGTCTCCGTACCCGAATTGCCTCGGATCGAAGGAAGTGATGTGAGAGTGTCGTTCGAGGACTTGCCCGTCGATGATGCAGCCGGAGTGGCATAGCCACCCGACACGACCGCCGTTCGTTGACTCAAATAAAGCTGAGCGGCAGGCGACAACGGGATCGGCGGAGGCTGAGATGGGATCTCCGCTCCATTCTGGACGAGAAGTTCAGCAATGGGGAACGGGATGACTTTGGCGGGACCATTGGAGCCTGTGGCCGTCGATCCAGGACTGGCAGGGTCGGCCGCAGCAAGAGCCAGAAAGACGGCGTGGGTGTTTCGAGACCGATCCGTCACATTGACATTCGCCCGCAACGCGATCCCGTACAGGACGCCCTGGATATCGTTCTTCTTGATGGACGCCAGGAGGGTTTCATCGGGGGTGGTATAGTGCGACTTTGTAGGAGACAACGGTTGTACATAGGCCCGGTCGCTGTATTTGGCGGTGATGAATTTCAGTCTCTGCTCGCGCGTCGACTGCGGTAGGGGTTTCTGAGATTGATCCAGGGTCGCCTCCCACACCATGTTGCTGACTCGGTTGCCGATCTGAAGGAGGATCTCTACGATATCGCTGGAGAATGAATTGACATCCAGCGTCAAGGAACGCACCTTGGAGATGTGGGTCCCTAGCGACCGGTGGATGCCACTGCACTCGATGCATAACACGATCCCCAGATTAATAGAAACCCACTCGACTTTAACCGTCGATCCACAGTCAGCGCACCATTTGTTGCCCTGGTCCGCATCGCGGATCATCTGCAGCAGCTTGGCCGGGTTCTCCTCAAAACTGTTGTTTTCACCGCGGCTATACATGGGCCGCGCACCGACTGTCGTCCGACGATTCACGCTGCTGGCGTTTGATGAGGTGGAATGAGAGTGCTGACCGGAGTAGGAAGAGCTTTTTCCCGTTAGGACCGACCCGATATCTCGCATCGGAGTGTTGTCGTTATGCACTGCGGGTGGCGGGGCATTGCGACCTTCTACCGCGCTCTGCAACGCATTGTTGATCGCCGTGATCCAGTTGCTCATGTCCTCCTCGGAAGTTGCCTGGTAGATGCGCTTGAATTGAGGGGTGATAACCTCGAAGCAAAACCGACGTTCGGCATTTCTGGCTTCTCGAACAGACGCCATTCGCAAGTCGATAGGGTCCATGTGCAGATCCAGCTTCTGTTTCCAGTTGCTGTATTCGGAGAGTTTCCCCTGATCTAGAACGATCCAAAATCTGCGAGATCCAGATCAGTTCGTGTCACCGTTGTCTCATTCTACATGGTAACTTACTTATGCCACGCCTGCTTATTAATCCCTTTGGGATCGATGTGAGATCCCGGTCGAGATAGCGCCCATAGTAGTCCCTCTTTCCTCTGAGGACCCGCCAGCTTATCAGAACCGGCAACAGATGACCCATCCCGCTCCTCTAGGTCACGGATACCTTTGAACTTGGCCGGGTTGGCAGTGGTTGTCATGTTGACTCCACCGGGAGGACTGAACGCCATATTCGTTTGAGACGAGATGGAAGACGTGTTGCTGTTGACGCTGCGTATCTGCGATCCTGTACTATCCGCCCGACTCAGCTCAGATTCTGCGCCTTGGCCACTGTTCGCCGTGCCCGTTGCGGTAGGATTGGAAAAAGTGTCGGGCTCGACGTAGGCTTTTGTGCTCTTTTCCAGCGCCCTTCGTTTCTCCTCTCTCTCCGTCCTCTGGAATTGGAATTCTTTATCTGCCTGGTCGACTTCCCGTATAAGAGCCTCCAATTGGGGAATCATTTCCTCGACCTTCCTCGCTGTGGCGAGAAAATCCCTCGTCTGTTTCTCGGCATACTTGGTGAGATGAGAGAGCACCTCCTGCTCTTTCCTTCCGCCATGCAGATCCTGCATGAAGGACGAGTAATCGAACCGTTTGAGCTCGAAGTTGCGCCGTTTTGCCTGATACTTGGAATCACTCTCGGCGCGCTTTTTCTCCTTCAAAGAATCCTGGCGTTGCCCGAGATATCGGCCGACATATGCATAGTAATCTCTGCTCTCCTCTTCAAAGTCTTTCTTCTTTGCTTCCGCCTGCTTGATATCATTGTTGTAAAGTTTGTATAAGGGGTCGATGATAAGTTTCTGGAGGTGGTGCGCATTTTGTTGTTCATAATTGAGGATCTGGCGAGCAATCTTCTCAAAATAGTGCTCCATGGCAGGCTGAATAGCGTTGGCGTTGGATGACGAGGCATCTTCCAAAGCCGAGATGAACGCTGAGACGGCGTCATTGTAGGCCGTTTGCGCTTGATGGGCGGCCTCGGCCTTCTTGAGTACCTTTTTGATCTTGATACGCATGCTACCAGTCTTCTGCTCAAGCGCCTTCATTGTGGCACGGAAAAGGGGCCCGTCTTCTACTGCACTCATATCTTCGCCTTGCCGATAGGGGAGGTCGACTTTCACGGGTACTGGAGGGGCGGTGGCCGGTGGAGGCGCGTTGTCCGTCCCCTCTGGTGGACTGGAGGGACGAACAGCGGAGCCTGCAGGTCCTTCTGCATCGCTGGAATGGGACAGGACGGACTGCGAGGAGGGTATACGGTTGCGGGCAGAAACACCCACATCCAAGTTTTGTGGGGACATCTGGGGACTTGGAAGAGGTCGCAGCGCGTTATGAACCCAAAAAGATACGTTGATCAGAGTATTTAGACGATTTGCTCTCTGGTCGTAATCGAGGAAACTGCAGCTGTTTCGCCAACCACCGCCTCTGTCCTCTGCCGCCTTGGGCGGCTTCCATTTCCACGACCATTCAAACTGGATGGATGGGCTTCCCTTTGTTGAGTAGTCGCCGATCAGCTGTACATTCGAATTATTCTGCAAATTCGGATTTGCATGGAACTCCCTCGTGATCAAGTTATCCAGTTCTTTGACATTGGATGCATGTGCAAAAGTAAGCCCCGTCAGCGTGGTGTCGATGGTTTCAGGCAAAGACGTCGACACGCCATTGACAGTCGAATTAAGCACATTGCCGGTCTGTGTCTGTCTGACAATAAAAGTGAAATTAAACCATAGCTCGTCCTCATTATTCAGCCGCAGGAGGAAGGAAGGCACGGGTGCCGATGCGGGGGGGTCCGGGTCCTGCAGGGAGGGGAAAGATCAGTATTTGAGAACAAGCGGGAACATAAGGACTATTCACCGATCTCGAGATATCCGTACGTACCTGGACATACTCGACCGGCCTGTCGTCGCCAGCGTCCCGTTTGGCGATGTATCTTGTGGCGGGAAATGAGTTTGGCGCTACGTTCAAGAGCACCCGGCGGCGAGCATTTGTAATCGTGATGTTCGAGATGGTAACTGATAGATAGCATTGTCAACGGGCTGTCCTCTGCAACATGTGGCGCATGGGGACACTCACATTTGTTCTGATCCTTGAAGAACAGTGATCCCGAATCGTCAATCCGGCTTCCCACGTTGCCCATTTCGACACACTGAGATCAGGTCACCGATGTCGACAGGTTCCAGTTGGAGTCACCATGGACAAGGAAAGAGGGATGGCACCGCTCGGTGAAGATGAGCGGCAAGCAGTGTGCACTGCAGAGGACGATTGATTGATTAATGGGTCATTCAGCTGGTGAGAATCGAAGTCGTCGTCTGACCGGCAGTGGCTGGCACATGCGATCAGCGACCGTGAAGGCCCGGGCGCAACGGTATCTTATCGCCAAGAGGATTCGGTTTCGAGGTGGAGGTCAGACAGCACTGCTGGCCTGGAGATGCATGACGCTGAATTCGGCTGGCGGTAGCAGGGGAACGGTGATGGGAGCACGGAGAGCGAGCTAGTGTGGTGAACAGTTGGAGGCGGGAGCGCTACGGGATGGTTGTTGGAGGCAATAATAAAGAGAGGCTCCTGGTGGAGTGGGGTGGGCGTGCCTGGGTGGGGGAGAATTTAGAAGCAGCAATGCGAGTGTCCGGACAAGTAATCGGATCCTCGATGACAATCCCAGTGCCTCGCCCATGAGTCAACGCCAGGTCGTCTGCTGCGGTAATTACGGTTCCAGGGCGTCCATTCACGCCGGTACAGTAGTGATGCAACGCTGTTTTGTTTTTACTGCAGCCGTTTCAGCGTTTCCCTTGTCCCTTGCCACAAGGCAGCAGTACCGCAAGTAATGAGGTCAGTGCTAAACAAACGGGACCAACAGCCTTCACAGGCCTGATATTCCTATCATCTGGAGGTAATACAGCAATGAGCTATTTTTTGTCTCGAATCTTTGAGGGCCCGTAATGCTTGCTGCTAGTGAATGATCAGGATGGGGGCGCCTGACGAAGGCAGCTAATAGCTAATAATAGCCGCACAGTCGAAGGCCCCAAGGCCTGCTAGGAAGAACATGCCAATCGCAACGCAGCGCTGGCTGAATTCTCCCAGGCACCATGCAGGAACTAGAGCACATGACATGATATTCTGTGGCTTGGACATGCGCGCCTCGTCTAGGCGGTAGCAGGCAACAACGCTCTGGAGATTGTTGGAGACGAAACGCTGCGACGGATTGGCATTGGCACGTGTACGTCAAGATGCCATTGTCCCAGCCAATGTCTGGTGCTGTGGCGGGCTAAGCCCCTCTGCTATCACCGCCACCTCTCTCATAAACTTGCTGACGAAATAGTAGTCCTTCGAATTCCATTTACTCACGAGTTACTGAAATAATCCTCAACTCATGCTGCAGCTTCTCATACGGCGCTCAAATGTCTGAAAGTAAAATGACTATAAGCAGCGCCCTGTCTTCATTCTTCGATAAGTCTACATAATTAATAATTTGATTACTGTGGGTATTATTAGATTTAGTTGCTACAGAGATCAAGACACTACAGGAATAAAAGAATTAAAAAAAAAAGGAAGAATAAAAGTAAGAACAGGGACGTGGTAAAAAAAAACAAAGGGGGAAAAAAAGAGTGGGTATAAATGGTGACAGATCTCGATATCCAGGACCGGCCGATTCCCGATCGACCGAACGAAAATCGAAAGAGTGCAAAAATAGAAGCCCACAACGCGGAGAGATGGTGTGGACTGGCGTCGTTGCCTGAAGAAGGCTACTCTGCTTCCAGCCAGTTCCGGAACTTGCCTTTGACGTCCTTCATGTCATGGAGGTTCTGGACCAGTTCGCCTCTCTGCTTACCGGGCACTCCGGCACGGCGATCCATCTCCTCCTCATCGGAGCTGGATAGCGAGGATGATGAATCATTGCTCTGCTGAATGTAGACGATATGGCCCCTGTCTCGTAATTTCTCCTGTCGCCGTTCTTCCTTCAGACGTTCCATCCGCTCTGCATCCTTCTGGCAGTCAAGCGTCGTGATATTGAGACCGGGGAAGTTGGTGGACAAGAAGTCTCGGAGGATGGGTAGACAGTCACCATTAGGGCGATAGGTGCCGCTGGCATTGTCGATAAATAGTTCAAAATTGCTGGGATCATCATTCAACTGCTGCTTCGCTTCTTCTTCTTCTTCCTCTGTGAGGATACTCTCTGCAGGCCCCTGGGATTCTGGCGACTCCAATTGCTGGTGTCGATGATGGTGCCTTTTGCAAGGACGCACGAAGAATTCACCAGAATATGCGATATAGATCGAGACATCGCTGTGCATTGTATGCTTGCTTAACAGATCAATTCCGAATTCCCTTCCGGTCTCCGTGAATCGAAATTGCCCGTCCAGGGTGAGAACATAGGTGAAGATCCGGCCACCTTTCCCATAATCAACGAACTCGAGGAACCGTTTGGTAAATTCGATAGAAGGCGAAGAGAAACTTCCGTTGAGGGTGCTTCTGTCGAAATTGTAGATACGCGCATGTTGATGGTGTAGAGCTCGATTGAGAATGCGCCCTCGCAGACTGTGGGCCGTAAACATCCCTGCCACGAAAGGTCTAAACTCGACATATCTGTGGTAAAGCCGTTCGGGGACTGGTCCTTGCAGCTGTATTTCAACCGCTTGGAAGCTAAAGACAGCACTGTAAGCCTGGTTCTTCTGCACAAGTGATAAATTTGTGGGAGACGTACTTGTACCGTTTGATTTCCCGCTTGGCACCCTGGTTTTCAGCAGTGTCCGTGGTGTGTGTCAGCCTACCGATTAGAGGCGAAAAATGCTTGAACCAGTACAGCGGCCCAACGGTGTACATGTGGGCGCCGTTGTCACCGGGAGTCCTGCCTAAACACTCGACACTGACGATCAAATGGGCGTCTAATTGGCGATCCCGAGAACAGGCCGCAGAAATTGACCTAATAAAGTAGGCCCGTTTACTCCCAGCACGCTTCTCGATGCGATACGATTTCTCTTTAATACCTTCCCAGCCATCTGGAATAGAGTCCACCTTGACATGCACATTCCCCAACCGGTCATCATGGTCTAGCGGGTCCTCGTCATAGACGCGACATTTAAGATCGAATCCAGATGCAGGCACGTTGGCCACAATCCATTCTGCATCCCAGACGGGATTGACATTCCTCCATGCCGTTGCGGTGCGGAAAGTGAGGTCGGGGTCCTGCTTATGCCGCCGGGGAAGATCAACAATCAATTGCGCCTGAATGAAGGGATCAGAAGACAACGAGTTGAAATCTGAAACAGGAAGGTTGACGGCGCGGTGAAACGTGAACTTGAGGGTGTAGCCTGGCGGAGCACGCGGGAAAGGAGTGGCATCAAATCCTCCGGGAGGATCTTTCTTTGACGATGAGGTTTTCGCGACAGCCTTCAGCGCGAACGCTTGATCATCCGCCTTTTCTGTCTTGTCGACAAACTTCGCGCCATCATTCTCGGCCACGTGCCGAGGTTGATCTTGTGATGGGATGTCTGTATCCATCGGTCGTTGATGGCCTGAGATCGGTTATTCTTCGGAAATTGGAACTTAAACAAACGAGATTCTTAGTCGGGAACACCCTCTGTTCATTTGAATCCAATTGCGACAGATGGAATATATATGCTGGATTAGGCTCAAGCAGGCTCTCCCTGTCGAAGGCCTGTGGAGTGTATATGGTTAAACCTTGTTGTTGGTGGTGATTGCAGGAGCATGTCCGTGGATCTGCTCACAGCCCAGTAAAACATTTACTCCATACAGATCTATACTCTGAACAGTAATTAAATAATAATAATCCTGGAGATGCAGAACTTAGGAGTGCCAGCCACAAGCCTCAGCCCTCTCTGTGCCAAGACCAAGGTAACGCATTTGCTTCCGATTGGGGCGGGCCTAAGCGGACCCGGTCCGCAGGGGTTGCAGGCGCACCGGCCACTAGGAGGCCCTCGCTGCCTCCACATTGAACGAAGGAGCAAATCAGGCAATGAACTCAGGTTTGTAGTTACGCACACGATGGAACATCATTATATGATCCTGCAAATCTAACCAAGTACTAAGAACCCTCCTAGGGCAAGGATAAGTAGGTACGGACTACGGAGTACAGATCTGTATAGATACAACAAATGTAGCCTAGAGGTACTATTATTGTAAATTTGTAATCCTGGCTAGAACTAGGAGCTGGATCCAAGCCCCGCCACAGCCCTATGTAGAAATTACTATTTAAGGACAGTTCCCTGGAGGCTGAGCAGTGCGGGCAGTCTTACAGCCTCAATCGTTCTTATTAGTGAGTAGTGGGCCAGATAGGCCTCAAGCGTGGCCCCCGCTGTAAACGGGCCGAGTCATCGTGTGAGGTCGCGAGAATTGGCTCCAGCCAAGCTTCTGTCACTTGGCGTTGCGCGTAATTGCTTGAATTGCTGCACCCCCATAGACACAGAATTCCGTGACCCCTATCCGCGCCGGTCAAACTGCATGGCTTCATCTTGTCTTTTTTTCTATTCTGGTCTAGCAAGACGGGGCTGGATGAAGGGTCTCGCGAGAAATGACGTCAGGTGTAGCTGAGAATCCGAGTCGATGTCAGCTGACATGTTCTCGACTCCTTCCTTGGAGCTGCATTGTGGAGCAAACAATTGGAAGATAAGATCTGGATGACATGGTTTGCCAGGAGCCCAGAATTACGTTAGACAAATCATCTAAAACCAGTTCTGAATTCGATATATATATATATTTTTAAAACTGTCATAAGTACATCGTGAAAAAGCCCAAGTCAATAATGAACCTTCCTGTTCCCTACCGCCCTTCCAAATCAATTTCCAGCCATCTCAGTATATTTTTTTTCTCCCAGTTTCCCATATACTTCCATACAATATAGTACACGACAGTACAAGCCAATCTCGTACTCAAATCCCCCCGTACCGTGGTAGTTGCCGGGAAAAGTGGCTATGCCCAGTTTTGATCCAGGGTCACCTATTGCTTATGATCCACGGAACAAGAATTGCATGTCCTCCGGAGTCAGTTTTTCCAACGCTTCTCCCTGATCCTTGTTGATTGTGCCCTTGATCATGTTCGCCTTCTTCTCCTGGAGCAGAACTATACGAGACTCCACAGAGTCCTCAATAACAAGTCGAGTAATCACACAAGGCCGCCGTTGCCCAATGCGGTGGCATCGATCGGCGCTTTGCCATTCTGCGGCAGGATTCCACCACCTGAAAGGAGAACGGTGAGTAACTCTATAAGGGAACAATACCGGAATGGAAATGCAAATTTGGGGACTTACGGGTCGACAATGAAGACTCGGGATGCCTCCGTTAAGTTCAGAGCCACACCGCCTGCTTTGAGGGAGACGAGGAACACCTCAACATTCACATTCTTCATAAAATGCTCGATAGAATTTTGGCGCTGTGCCGGGGTCATGCTACCATCAAGCATGACGGTATTAAACCCGGCTCGGCGCAGGCGCCACTCGACGAGCTGCAACATGGACGTAAACTGAGAGAAGACGATGGATTTGTGGGTCTGCTTCTTGCTTCTGAGTTTGTATAGATCATAGACGAGCATTTCAATCTTTGTCGAAGATGTCCAGTCTTCCATTCGAATTCGATTGATGATCGAGTTTTTCTTGACAGCCTCCTCTTCTTGTTCAATGTCGGGCTGCTCAAAGTCGATCGACAGCGGAATGTGGCATCTTGGGCAGTCGACAACAGTGTCCGCATCAAATGATCGCACGTAATCCTTTGCGCACTGGCGGCAAAACTCATGATGACACCGAGATCGGATGGGTTCCTCCGCGGGCTCATCACAGATACTGCAGACAAGTACATTCTGACCACCTTCGGCATGTTTCTTCAGGATCAAGTCAGGGTGATTTGCCACCTGGCGCATCTGCATAATAAGACCGAAAATATTGGCGTAGTTGTTCAACATGACGCCTCGACTAACATATGTATCGAATTGCCGAGTGGAGTTCGTCATGATGCTGGTGGAAAAGTCACGCTCGATCTCGCTGAAGAATTCATTATGGATGGCAACGCTAAACGTGCCGAAATAAAAAAAATCAATATTTGAATGTAAAGATGATTTAGTCATTAAGCTCCGCTCACGACTTACCGCTTTGGTGGAAGCTCCATAGATGAGATGTGATCTTTCTTCATCCGTCTAAGCATGATTCTATCGGTGATGAGGCGAAGCTTATCCAGAGCATCCTTGCGCGCATTAGGGTTATTCCTTTCGGTGACTGTGATATGTTAGGTAATGTTCGGTACGGTCATTGCCGCATAACTTACTAGGGTTAAGGATCTCCTGGTTGAAAATCGAGACATGACTAAATCCGCTATACTGAAGGTTAGAGCCATTCAGATCAGCATGCACAAGAGAAACCATACCTGTGTTTGCAATGGGTGCATCTCTTCTCCCTATCCTGGGACCAATGGAGCTGCTGACACTGGCACATCTTACAGAAGTAACATGCAAAAGGTCGAACTTCGAGAAAGCGTAAAAGGGAGAAGAACTCTCCGATCCGATTTTGCACCGGTGTACCAGACAGGCACCACTTGTAGGTGGCCTTCAAGGCGAAGCATGCACGCGCGACGCTTGTTGTGCGTTGCTAACTGTACGTCAGCAATCAAGTCCAATCCACAGCGCGGTTATGGGATATACCTTAATGTTATGCGCTTCATCAAGAATCAGGCGATGGAAATGGATCGAATGGATCACACCTTTGGAAATGTCAAATGATGTTAAATAAAATAGCGCGAGCCTCGGGGTGCCTACTATCTTCTTTGACAATGCCATCATCGCGGTTCCAACCTTTGAGCTCCTTGCGATACATTGACTCGAGACCCGAATCTGAAGAAGAAGAAAAAGAATTAGGAATATTTCAAGCCATGGTTTCACAAGGTGGCAGGGGGCGTACAGGATATCATGATTACATCGTAAGCCTCGAGGTCTTTCTTCTTCAGGCGCTTTACTTTCGGATTCGAGTTGTGATATACAAGGACCTTAAGTTTGCCATCCGTATATTCCTGTGAGACGTCAGATATGCTCAATCCAAACAAATATATATCGAGATAGAACGAACCTTGATCTCGGACTGCCACTGCATCAGGGCCACCGGAGGCACGACGACTAATGATGGCTTGCCCACAGGATAATCGGACATAAGTAAGGAAACAGCTTGGATAGTCTTCCCCATTCCCATCTCATCGCCCAATAATCCCCCTTTGTACTGTGTTTTCTCCTGCCGCATCATCCAGTTCAAACCTTCAAGTTGGAACGACTTGAGCTTCCGGGTGATTCCAGCAGGCTGTTCTGCCGCCACAGGCGTGATGGTAGGTTGTTTCTTCAAATCGTCCCACATGGTTACGATAGATGGATGCTGTCTCTCGAGCTTTCTGCGCTCCCTTATAGCCTAGGTTATAGTTAGCGCAGATCAACCAGAGTTCGACCACATCATCTCTTACACGACGGCTCATCCCATAGGGAAGAGGGTCTCGACGAGGGGGAGCTAAGGACTGGACACGTCTGGCACCGCGTCGTGCACTGCCAGTGCCTCTTTGTGGCATTGGAAGGTCTCCGTCAACATCAGATGGAGAGGACACATAATCGCTGATGCTCTCATCGGAGGAGTCTTCATACAGGACCTCATCCATTGAGTCGTCAAGGTCATCCACAAGTCGAGCATTGGAGGAATCGAGGTCTGATAGAGAAGACTCATCAGTACCTGGAACAATCCCCTTATGCTGAATTGATTTTCTGGTCTCGCGATGGGGTGATGGCTGCCTAATGGGCTCCTCTGCATCACTCAAGGAATCGAGCTCCGTCAGCATGGCATCATCGTCGTCGGTAGAATCTTGAATCTCCAGGATACGTTTGCTGCCGCCAGAAGAGAGTCTCTGGCGCTTTGTTTCAGTCCCTTCATACTCTTCGAGCTGCAGCGCACGCGCCAAAGCAGCATCTGAAGACTCAGTTGTTGACTCGTCTGCGGACAAAGCTGCGGCCCCCCTTTTCCGTCCTGTAGAAGAACTAGTCATCGAATAAGTGCTCGCACGGAGTTCTTGAAGACGAGCAGAGGCATTTACTCTTTTTCTAGGCTGGTTGCGGTCCGATTCGACAGGGGTAGCGGCAACACTTGTTGCTGGAGTACCGTAAAGACTGACGTCTCGCGAAGTAATCTCGACTGACGGAGAGGTAGACGATCCATTGGAAGGAGATTCTTTTTTGACCGGGATTGCAACCTCCACCGCAGTCAAAGGAGCTGTCGGCCTGTCGTCAAGTTCATAGTTTTCATCTTTCTTCATTGTGTCCTTTTCGACAGATTCGCGGTTTGCGGAGGCCAAATTTGACGAGGCGCGGGTGAGTCTCGTGGAACTGCGTGTGGTGAAAGGAGTTGAGTTCGATGAAGGTCCCTTCGACTGGACAGCGCCTAAGATAATGGATGTTAATTGCCTACAGTCTGCAATTCTCTGTGACAAGGCTTAGCTCAAAATAAGAAACTCCTTACCAGATTCTGGACCAGACGGCCCTGGCATCTTTGTAGATGATGCTCGCCTTCCCATGGTGACAAGTGAATCTCCTGGCGCAAACTTCTGAATTTACTCACTGCCCAGAGATTCAACTTGTCTTATTAGTAAATGGATGAAAGTCTGTCTGTCAGTCAGTCTGCTTCGCTGACGCTTGTTGGCTGACGACAGCCAACCCCTATCCACTGACCCACTGTAGCGTGCCGATAACAGAGTCTCAGCTTATCGGAACAGCGGCCGGTCGGTCACCAACCAGGTGAGAGCCCCTTGAGGTGAAAGAGAAGAGATTTTTTGTTCTCTCCCCTTTGGCATGGAAACTGCAATGAACTGACCGTTATTTCATATCCTCCAAGATAAACGTTTGCCTTTAGTCTCCACTGAAAATTTCCACAAATTACCCTCTCGGAACACGAGTCAATGAGTAAGGCCCCGCGGCTGCCTAGTCTCGCGTAAAGTGGAACGCGAAACTGCCGCGAGTTCCTGTGACTTCGGGCACCGCCTTCAGAGGCCTTGATATAGTCCCACTCAACATTGCACTTCAGTGGAAGTTTGCAGTTAGATATTCAATATGTGAGTGCTCCGTTTATTTGCATTGTTGGATATCCGTGTCTTAGATTGTGCTTACAACGAGTGGTAGGGCGAACCGACGACAGACAGTCAATCAAATCAGAGGCCCGTAGGTGTTTTTTTCTCCAATGGTCGCTGTAATATAAGCTAACCGTATTATCATAGACACTCTGCGCTTACGGATTTCCTTGCTGTGAGTTATTTCCATGGAATCGGTCACCTATATCTTATCTGCCCTCTCTAGTGATATGGGCTATGACAAAACCAAATTAATTCGCATGAATCTGAATAAGGTGCTGATATCCATTAATTCTAGTCCAACAACATCTCCGCTGCTCAGATTCGCAATGATTATGAAAGACGTCTTAGAGAAGCTGAGCGCCAGGCGGAGCGGGAAAGGAGAGAGAATGCACTTGAAGAGGAAGAATACGATAACAATTCCAACGAAACGCAAGAGAAGAACAAGCGCAAGCGAAAGGAGGCAGCCACCTTAGCGAAAGTCAAGCAGAGCAAGGAATTAGCTCGTCGTAAGGCTCGACGTGCTGGCGAACCAGACGACGACGATGATCCGATCGCAGGGATGATGTACCAGAAATCGCGACCCCTACCTGGCCAACTGGAGAACTGCGAGATTTGCAGCAAGCGATTTACAGTCACTGCCTACAGCAAAACTGGGCCTAACGGTGGTCTTCTTTGTGCAAAGTGCTCGAAAGAGATAGCCGATGAAGAGAAGAAGGCGAAGCCCAAGAAAACCGGACCAAAGAGTGGTCGTCGCCAGAATCAAAGCAATCTGCTTGACGGACTTGTTCAACGGGGCGCTCAGAGTCTTGTTGAGATGTGCACAAAGGCAAGAAGATCGATCAATGGGCATGTCATACCAACGACAAGCTAACACGGTCTGCAGAAAGTAGCTGATAACATCAATGATGTGGAGGAGTTTGGAGACTTGCCGCCACAGCTACTCCATCGCCTTAGTCAAATCTTGTCAAAAAGGCGCGTGATTACTCCGAGGACGCTTCAGCTCTTCCTCCGTCCTGACCTCGATTCTATTGACATCTACGACTGCGCCAGTGAGTCTTGACTCCTGGGAGGCCACCTCAAGTGCACTGCTGACAGATCTTAGAACTCGAGACCGAGGACTACGAGAAGATTTTCGCATTCATGCCATCGTTAGTGCACGTCAATCTACGGTTTGCCAGTCAGATGAAAGATAAGGTCATTGAATATATGATGGATCGTAATCCCAAAGTCAAGCATCTGCAACTAGATGCGGCCAATCTTGTTTCTGATACTTGCTGGCGGCAACTTTTCATCAAGTTAGGTGCACAGTTCGAGAGCTTGAAATTGTCCAATCTCGATTCTTCGCTGGACGATGAAACCATTGATGTGATGAGCAGACAATGCACGAATCTTCGTCGTCTAAAGCTAAAGGAATGTTGGAAACCCGGTGACAAGTCACTCGATGCGATTTCTCGCCTACCCAAGCTGGAGCATTTATCGCTCGAGTTCCTACGAGAGACGCAATGTGAGAATGTGGTGGGGATGATTGAGAAGCTTGGGCCCAATCTGCAGACACTCTCTCTACAAAGCTTTCATAATGCCGACGACAGACTACTGGAAACTATCCATCGTCAGTGCCAGAACCTTTCCAAGCTTCGTCTGGCTGATAACGCCGTGTGCACGGACAAGGGGTACGCGAACTTGTTCACAGACTGGTCAAACCCGCCTTTGAGGTTTGTCGACCTCTCCTCGACGAGAGATGTCGATAACGCCAATCCGGACGGACCAGCAGAACCCGTCGGGCTAGCATCACAGGGATTTGTGGCCTTGATGAAGCATTCGGGATCCAAGATTGAGACGCTGAACATCAGCTCGTGTCGTCATATCTCGCGGGCGGCGTTTGAAGAGGTTTTCAACAAGGACCAGACGTATCCACAACTCAAGGAACTCGACATATCCTTTCACACGACCATTGACGATTATCTCGTCACGTCGATCTTCAAGTGTTGCCCTGCGATCAAAAAGCTCGTCGCATTCGCCTGCTTCCGAGTCAGGGACGTGCGTGTTCCCGTCGGGGTCGCATTGATTGGTGGTCTGAGAGCGCAAGACTCGATTATCGTCGAGGGAGATTTCCAGGGAGAGCTTTCGTAGTTGATCAGTATACCCGTCACGACAGCGATAGACGGTCACGATCTTTCCATCTCAAGTCATCTGCCAAAAAGGTACGGCACAAATGGTAAGGGTGGTATATTACGGGATGGGGTGGACCATGGGACATAACCGGCATGAGATGCAAATTGTATTTTTAGCTTTTACACCATGGGTCAATTAATAATGCCAAATTAATTTCACAGATCTATAAACCAACGGAGAGATAAGTGTCTGTTCAAGTTCAGCCCAGTACTTGTTGGCATGGCTGAGATAAAAAGAGAACCAGCGATGAACTCGGCTGGGATTGCGATAATCTCAGGTTGGTCTTTGGTAAATGGAAGAAGCACTTCTGCAACAGGCACCCGGGTGCGGATGGCATGCGACAAGAATGTTCAGACGTGGAAGTTGGTTGGCCATGTTTTTGACCCGAGAATTTTTCGCTCGTTGAGAAGAAAACAGCAGGTCCTAATAAGTGAGGTACGGCAACATGTCAAGTTTGTTTGTGTCGAAAGATCGATGAAGCACATGGAATGTGTGTTTCTCCCAGTGACAGCCGAGGGAAGAATGTGAGAAAATCCACCGTAGGGCGGCATCGAATCCATATCGCATGCCGTGAATGCCGAACCAGCGAACTCTGCCACTCACACTGGAGGCCTCCTGGCGATCGCTCTCAACAAGGCTCCACTGATACCAGGAGATCCGGGTCACTGGAATTTGGATCGCGGCCGTATCTCTTGGCCCGATTGAGGTGGCTCACCGTGGCTGGTGGAACTCAGCGGCTCATAATTCTCGGTAGCATGGTATGGTCAAAACTATGATGCAAGATAACACGGGAGAAATGATATCATATCATTTGTTCTTCGAGTTAGTCTATGACGCGAAGCCACACTGAGTGCAGGCCATTGCCTACACTCTGAATGAGTGTTTGAATATGAATCGATCAAAGATTGATCCTAGAGAAGTTGGTTAGCATTATTACTGTGTGGAAAATCTGCTAATTATTCAGGCACCAGGTACGCACCGTTCATCAGCCTGTTTCCGGCTCGCACGAAGCAGCGATCTTGCGGATCGTCAAGAAGGCTCGCGGATGCGGAACCTTAAGTGCCCAGAGTCCGGCTTGGCAGCCCTCTTCGTCATCGCCCGCCAATAGCACGGCCGCATGCCTCCGGGCCTCCACTTCCCCTGGAACTCCGTCCGCGGACACGGCTGATTTCTCGATTTCTCGCTTTCGCCCATCTCATAATGCCACGGCCGATCATTGCTGGGCCCGTCCTATGACGTCTCTCGTGTCCACCGGCTGCTCGATGCTCGTAGAGCCTTCTCAGCCGCAGTTTGGGCCGAGTCGTGGACGTTCCCTGGCCGACCCTGTCAGGAACCCGGGCCCTGCTATTATTGCCCACAAGTGGCCACGCAGGGAACCCATGAGGCTTGGATTCCAGCCAGCCAGGGTGGCAATGTTGCGCGGACCAGGTAACCAGTACTAACCTCAGCGCTGCCCGTTCCAGCGCGGTGGCGCCTCAGCTGCTACCAGCGTTTAGGTTAGGCGCTCCGTACCTAGCCTCTAGGGCTCGGGTGGAGAGTGACTTGCAGGCGGCCGACCACTGAGCCCAAGCTCCCAGGCGAGCAGCCCGGCCTAGATTGATCGCTGCCCTCATTATTGCCTTCCTGCCTGCTCAAGCCGAGTCCAGGACATTCTTCGATGCCACCGCAATAGCACCGCTCTGTCTCACTGCTATCGCCCACTGTGGCAGTAGTCTGCCCTCCGTCCCTAGCTTTCCGCGGCCCTCTAAGCCTTGTTGATCGCTAGGCCATTATTCCAAATGTATCTGTGGGCCTGGCAAGCGCGAACTTTCTTGTAGCTAGCTAGTTAGTTGTTCAGCACGGCAATCGCTGCGTGTTCAGCCACTCCAGGCCCCTGAGGGCTGCTGCCCACGGCGAACTCCAAGCTGGTCTAGGCGCCCGTCACCGAGCCAAGATCGGCCTCTGTGCTCCAGCCACGCAGCCCACGCTGGCTGCTAGTCTCAGTCGTATCGGTCCCCTGTCTGGTACTCTAACGACGGCAGTAAGCAAGAGAAGCAAAGAAAAAAAGGGGGGGGGAAACGAACCAGCGGGAAAAAAAAACGTCACCCTGCAAATTCTCCTCTCTTTTCCCCTCAGTCGTTCTCCCCCAGCTTTTTGTCGTTCTCGTTACCGGGCGCTTCTATATTTGGGTGGGTGGTCGATCTCTGAGAGCGCTCCTACGCAACTGCACATTCTGCAGTCGGTTGACGTACGCCAGATTGACTAAACCATCTAGTCCTCCGTACCTCACTGTGACTGCGATCGGTTGCGACGCTGCTGTCGCCAGTCGGGCCGGTGTGCATTGCTGGTGACCTCTCGGCTACGTGAGGTTCCTTGAGGCTGACCGGAAACGGTATCCTGAAACAGACATCCCAACTAACACCCGACCTGTAAGAACCCATCTGCTTCCCACTTAAACAAACAGCAAAAATAACCTACCCTGTGTGACTGAGGCAGGCCACTTCTTTTCCTGCTCCATACGCCCCTTTGCAGGCCAATCTCGGTCCGCCTGAACCTACCATCATTCTCACCGCATTCTTCCACTCTCTCATGCCGGCCTGACCTCTTACTTCCACTCACTTTCCGACACGGGCTTCTCTCCTCTTCTTCTCCCTGTTGACCAACCAGTCACTCCCCCATAGCTGGTCCGCCCAGCTCGAACCCATACCGCTTCTTTTTGTCTCCCGGCTTGCCCTGAGGACATTTTTGCGTCCTCGTCCACCGGTCGCAGGGTCTGTTGACAACATACGTTGACGCGGGGCGGCATCCATCGTCTGGCCAATCTTTCTCTATGCCGATCAAGCTTCCCAAGGGCTTCACTCGACGGAAGTCCTCCGGCAATGCCCTCGAGGAAGTCGAAAACCCTCCTGAGCCCTCTTTCCGTGTCTTAGAACGGCCGAACGGGGGAAGCAAGTCCTCCGAAAGCGGTGACGTGCTGAAAACGTCTCGTCCATCGACTGAAGATGACAACATATTTGCCGGGATAGAAAGACCGCTGCCGAAGAACAGGTGCGTGTTTGTGTGTGTGGTCCGATTGAGTGGTGATGCTTACTGAACTTCAGGGTCAGTGGAGGAACTCACCATTCAGCCTCTACGACGGGGTTGTATGACAGCTCATCGTCAGCGCGTTTCAGTTCGTCCTCGACGCTTCCTTCATCGACCGACGTTCCGGTGCAGAATGATCATTCAAGGAACTTTCACGACCTCTCGGTGCCCCCCGTGCCCGAATCCTCATTCTTTTCGTTGCGTGCAGCCGGCCGGACTTTGTCTTTTGGGAACAAAGCAGGGAGAGTCTCGACGCCTCCACAGTCACAGCAGCAACAGCAACAGCAACAGCAACCCCAGCACCAGCAACCCCAGCACCAGCACCAGCAGCAGAAACAGCAGCAACAACAGCAGCAACATCCTCAGGGACCTTCTGCCCAAGCAAGAGAACGGGCCCTGACAGCGAGTTCTGCGAGCACGGCGACACCACCAAGGTTACTGGACTCAGATCTGAAGCTCGATAGAGGGGATGACGACAACTTCAGCAGAATGTTCGAGAGCTTCGGGAAACGCAAGAGTGAACTTCAGCTCCAGACTAATCTTGTACGGACACTAGCTATTTTGCCCTCTGAATTTGCTATCCGGCATTGAAACGCTGACAATACACAGGACAAGGGTTCATCGAAAGCACCGCCTCCGGATCCTCCAAAGGAAGATCGAAACCCCAATCTTTCGCCAATTAAGGTCGATCGGTCACAGGAAGTCGAGCCATCCCCTACTTCGTGGGACAGCCGGACGTCGCAAGATGGATTGATGGATCATCCTAACAATCACGAACAAGATACCTCCATTCCCCGTGAATCCTCGTCGGAACCTCCCTCTGTATCACCGACCGAAACCCGACAACATACAATGCCATCGGATTCTACACCAGTCACGGCTACAGCACAGCGAGCCCGAAATGCGCAGCCCTCCACGGATAAAGGACTCAAAAGGGGCAGCGTATACGCTGGTAAACAGCTCTCCTCACCAGTCGAAGATGTCGATGCCAAAATCGTCCGGGAGTCGGTACTTCTACACAGGAGAAATACGCAGCCGACTACCTCGGAAACTGCGCAAGCGCGTGCGGAAGAAGAAACCCCGCTCTTTGACAATGAGGAAATTCTGTCTAGTGCCAGGCTCGCCACCCAGTATGAGGAAAAAGCCGCGTCGACTACAGTTACCCAAAACAAAGTCATGACACCGGCCCAGTTTGAACGCTACCGACAGCAACGGGAACTCACGAGACAGCTGAACAAGGAATCAGACAGCGAGAGCTCGGATGGCGCCAGTGATTACGAGGAAGACGAAGACGAAGCTGAGAAAAATCGGGAAGCAGCACGGCAACGTCGCAAGCAAGAAGCCCACCTATCGGTTTACCGTCAACAGATGATGAAAATCACTGGAGAGCAGAACCCCAATCCCTTGAACAACACGCAGACTCGTCCGCCGGTCGACAGAGCTGGCAGCAGCACGCCTAATTTGAGCTCTCGCATGTCCACAATCGGACTGTCGACCGCAAAATCTGGTGACAGCGGTAAGAGCAGTGATGGCGACGACGATGAAGATGTTCCCCTGGGCATCTTGGCTGCGCACGGGTTCCCAAACAAGAATCGTCCTCCGACACGTCTGGCCTCAGCAAGCTCGATTCCTAATCTACGAGCGGCCTCCCCCTCCCCCGGCTCTGTATACGGAGAGCCGACTGGGAATCGAAGCAGTTTACCTGCCTTTGCGCGGAACTTGCCTAAAGATCCGTACTTTGGGGCCAGTCTAGTCAATCCGTCAAGGAGAGAATCTCTGGCGATGGGAGGCGGTGCTCCTGCTTACGGAGGCCCGCCTTCATCTCTGCCCCCAGGCGGTCTCGTCGGGGTGATTGCATCGGAAGAGCGAGCGCGAGCCATGAGGAGGGGGAGTCCCAATCCTCAATCCAGCCCCTCCCCTCAGCCAATTCCCCGGCCATACACGATGACGAACATGGGGCAGACGGGCCCAGCCGGTCACTGGGGCATGTCAGGTGCCATGCCTCCACAGCAAGGCATGTCGCCGGGAGAACAGGCGCAGCTACAAATCTCCCAGCAAATGGCGGAAATTATGCAGACGCAAGTACAGATGATGCAGCAGATGATGCAGATGCAGGGCATGGCGGCCGGACCTCAAGGCCACCCGAATAATAATTTCCTATATGGCGCCCAGCCTGCCAGCCCGAATATGCGACCAGTATCCATGGCCTCCGCCAACTCGTTCAATTTGCCCTCGGGTCCTCCTCAAATTGATCATCAGCGTACTTTTAGCATGCTCGATCCAGGCATGTCTCGGTGGAATACCAACCGACCGGCCTCCATCTTCGCTGGTGGCGGTCCTCGTCCTGCTTCGCCACATGCGGCACCAGGATATACACCGTCCATAGCTCCTTCTGAGCGCAGCAACGTTGGACTGGCTTCGCGATACCGTCCTGTGTCAACGGTTGGGCCAGACCGCAATGCGATGCCTCGGTCGTCCACTTTTACTTCCTCGACGCTGAAGCCATGGAACGACGAGAACCAAAGGCCTTCCTCGATGGCCGCTCCTTCTACACAACCTCCTGATCGCAAGTCCACTTCTCTGGCAAATGTGACCGTCCCACCTGCAGACACCCAAGGACAAAAATCTACCACGAACAAAACCAATGCCGGTGCCGTGTCCGACGATGACGACGATGAAGGGTGGGCTGAAATGATGAAGAAACGTGAAAAGAAAAAGAGCGGTTGGAAATTGAAGAATAGCGCCCCGGCCCTGGGAGATCTTTTGCACATGGTTCATTAGTTGAAAGACTATGCACATGCAGCCTTTCTCGATCTTACTTTCGTTCATTTGTCGAACGGCTGCTCTCTGTTTATTCTACTCTCCTGCGACGACTTAATTTTTCTTGACGTTTTCATAATCCATACCATATTCTGGTCTGTTTTCTAGACATCTCCAAGGTCTGATGCCGGTTCCTTTTTTTTTGTTTCTTGTCGGAGCAAACACCGTATGCGTTTATTTCTTGTTGTTACATATTGTCCCATCAACTATCTCTCTTATCTTCTCCTTCCCGGGTTCTTTTACTGTTGCATTTCAGAAGCGTGGGTATCATTGAAATTCTAATCAAGATATTATTCATAATATGACAAGTTGTCGGGCAGGTATGAATGGGATGGCGTCTATGAAGGACAAGCGGTCTTTTTGGTGTTTTGTTGGCTCTTTTTGTTTCCTGGACATGCCGGGATAAAACTTCTTGTACCTAATGGATCTAGAGGTTCAGAATCCTGTTCATAACAAGAGAATTGTAAAAGAAACTCTCTGTTCCCTGATCTAGTCAACATCTTGAGATAGTCGGGCAATCAATGACGATTCATTGCAGCCTGCTACTGTGTTTTCTTAGCACCTCATCCGTCCCTGCCAGGGTCTTGTTGATTATCTCTTCAGCTGCCAGGATATCCTTCACAAGGCCTACGCCAGTCCCTGCGTACGTCGTCATCCTGCCATGAGGTCCCCATCCATCGTCACCTTTCTCTATTTCCTTCACATAGAGATCTCTGATTTCTTGATCACTCACTCCTCTCTGTACAGAGTCAATGTAGGTTTGGTTGATCACTCCACGCCCATTGTATCGATCAGGCCAATCCAAGATACCTCTCGCCCGGTCATAGACCGTGCTGCGAACAGTGCTGATGCCTCCGTCTGACGCACGTAGGATCTCTGACTGATAGCCCCGGGCGATGGTCGCCTCGGAGCAAGCGAGGAATCGAGTTCCCATCACTGCGCCCGCAGCCCCCAGCATGAGCGAAGCGGCAACACCCCGGCCGTCCGCAATCCCTCCTGCCGCAAGGAGCGGTATGTGGCCATGCCCAAGTTGCGCCAGCGAGTCATGCACTTCGGGTAGGAGGGTGACGATGGACGCTGACTGCGCTAGGCCGTGGCCTCCGGCGTCGCTGCCCTGGACGACGAGGACGTCGGGCTTTATCGCCTTCGCCACTGCAATGGCTTCTGCCACGCTGCCGACTTGAACCCATATCTTGGTCTTCCCTGACGTCGCGGTCCGGATCTGCTCGGCCCAGGGGACGAGGTCGTCTGGTTGATTGACTGGTGCGAAGAACCACACGGCACAGGGCGTGTATTTTTTGAGTGCGGCAAGAGCAGTATCTCGGTCCGCACCCCAGTTGAGAAAGCCGACCCCAATTGGGAGCACGTCCTTGTCTTCTCCCAGGGGAGATTCCTTGATCAGCCGTGATGCGTGTTCGAGGTCCTTCTCAAGATTCGAGACATCGAACCCGCCGGCGAGGAAACCCAGTCCCCCTGCGCGCGAGACAGCCACGGCTAGCGGGGCCATGGCGATGCGAAGCATCGGCGCTGATGCTATGAGAGGAGTTTTAGTCCATGGGTAATCCGACCGGAGTGAGGGAGACGAAGCCATGGTTTTCTGGACGTTGTTCTGTCACGTCTTGATGGAACTCTCTGTCGTAAATATATATACAACCCTCGAAATCTATCTTCCTAGCCCTCTGGTTCAAGTATGGAATTGATACGGCGTTACAACTAAAATGTCAGCCAAAAGTAAACAAATAACGAGGGTACAGATCACTTCTTGCAGCCGGTACTCGGGAAACTCTGCGATAAGTCATCATTCGCTTGTAACTATGACAGCCGAGGCCAAATGGAAGATGATTAATGTACGGAGCAGTGCCGAACTCCGAGGGAAAGAATCATAAACAGCCAGATGAGTCAACGAGGGGAGGCTGTATGGGATCAAACCTACCATACCTTACCTGGCTTGGATTATCCTGCATCTCTCTTTTGTAAAAATGCAAATTACTGCCCCATACGTCTGCAGCATATCCCGTGAGTTTCTGTGACAGCTTGCACCGCCTCATCCACGGCCCATCGGTGGAGAGGTGTGGCGGGTGAGTGTGGTCACGTGCTGATAGTGATAAACTTCACGCCATCGAAGTGTCGATCGTCCATGAAACCAAATACTGAGATGAATGAATCATTAATGCCTATTCATACCACCCATACATCCTGAGCTGGCTCCTCACAGACCACATTTCTCTGTCCTGGCAACTAATATCAATACGTCTGATCTTTATTGTTTGATTCACTCTTCTATACATGAACGACACTCAGTCTTAACATTAATCTACCTCTCTGACTCTCTGACATACCCTCTGCGACTCTTTTCTCATCTTATTTGGATATATTGAGATACCAGAATCTACAGCATCTTTTTTTAGGGTATTTTTCGGGATTAAGAAAAAAGGAAGTTTGCAGTTTCTGTCATATTCTTTTCTTTCTTTCCTTTTTTTCCCAGCAGGTTTTCAGAAGCTAGTTCAGAGACATGAACGCCCCTGACAGGTAGGCTATCTTCTCTCATATTGTCTCTGCATGGTACATTCTGCAGCATACTGTTATCTCAAGATCTCTCTACATGCTGTTATTTTCCTTGGTTCAGCGTTTCCACACTTGGCTCGGTTCGCCTTTTCACGAGCCATGTCTGCCAACTTCAGGGAGTTGCAGTGGGTGTTCCCTCATGACACTGGCGTTGAGGGAGACTTCCACGCCCCCGGGACTTTCCTCCTCACCTCACCCTCAATCTGTTTACGTCGCGTCTTCAGCTCCCAAATCCTCCGTTTTTGTACTACCCTGAATACCATCCATCATCGGGCTCTTCTCAGCAGTCAAGTTCCACCCTGTCAAACTTGCACCAGACCCCTTTGTCCCATATCAGAACACCATGCCTCGTAGCATCTTCTATGATCCCACCGGTGCAGGTTATCGGAACCCGTCCCGCCGCTACCGTGGGAACCCGCAACCCCCGCCTGGCGCCAACAAGCAAAGAATGTTGTGTCTCTATTTACCCTGTCCTGGTCATTGTTGCATCTGACGTTTGCATGTTCTTATCATCTGATTTTACATTCTTGTCTGTTAAATTTTATTGCTTGAGGTCGTTATTGATGGATGCATATGATACTGACCTGTCCCGACCGTAGGACTGAGTCGTTTCTCCTTGCTCCCAAGGAGAGGAAAGTCGAGGAAAAGACAGATACTCGTAAGTCTAGTCGTCCGCTTTTTTGGCGACGCAATCCAACTGATATATCCGCAGGTACTCCCTCCACTTCTATCTTTACTTTCAACAAAGAGGACCATACTATTGGAAACTTGCTTCGCGCGCGTCTGTTGCAGAGTCGCCATGTTCTGTTTGCTGCCTATAAGGTACGTGCCGTTGATCTATCCCTCCAAACGGCAAGGTAGACAGCTCATCGGATGAATCGACTAGGTGCCTCACCCTCTCGAACACAAGCTCGAACTGCGTGTCCAGACTGATGGACAGATTACCCCCAAGGAGGCTCTCCTGGCCGCTTGCCACGACACAGTAAAGGATCTGGGCACACTCTCTCGTGAATTCACTAAGGAATTTGAGCTGCGGAAGATGGTGGGGGCTACCCAGCAGCAGAATGGTGTCCAGGAGGGAGCATAGGGGTCGAGCGTTGTTCGAAGTTAGGAGCTGGCATTTTTTTTCCCCCTTTCCTCTGCAGTTCGGCGTTCTCTAAGGCGATTTCCTCTTTCCCGGCGGCGATGAGTTTCCATGAACCAAGTTTCTTTCTTACATTCCACTATTTCTACGGGTCTGGTATTGTCCAACTTCTCCTTCAGTGACATGTACCTGTTTAGAGCTGGCAGACTTGCGTTCCTGGTAATGGCTGGACAAGGTGATAGACTATTGCATGTGTATATGTGGTGTTTTAAGTCGAGTTGCTTGCAACCACTTAGTTACATCGCTTCACTGAATGCCTGAAACGATCGCGTTTTGATTAAGCGCACTCTTCGTTTCGCTCCCTACACCGTAACATTCTCCCACCACGGAATATTGTAATTTTCATAAAAAGGGAAAACTCGGAGGAAAACTGTCCACAGTCGCGACAGTTTTCCTGTTTATATGCTACGTGATTAATGAAGTTCCGGTTCGGATTAGGGGTCAAGGGCTCCCACAGCAACCAAGGAAAGAAAAAAAAAGACATTCCTTATGTGTGAGGGTATTTTTTCCAGGAAAAATAGAAAAATACTCATTATAAATCACCTCTATGTTCGGCTGATGGAGCGTAAATGCGCATGGAATTGCCAGCTCCGGGACCTTACTTGAGCACCGCATCTAGATTGCTGTTTACGGCTAGCGCGGGAGCCGCTGCTGCCTTCTCTTCTCCCGCCTCCCTAAGCCGCCCTTGTGGTCATCAACTGTCATCCATGTCCTCTTTGCACGCTCGCTACCTTCATTGACTTTTCGTCTTGTCAGCTTTTATTTCTGTTATCTTTCATCCTCATGCCAGTGCTCTCTTTGTAAATGTATTCGTCCTCCAACTCTTTCCTGGGTGGCGCAAACAGCGCCCGCCCCGGACAACAGTCCCCGTTCGGGCAGCAACCTGTCTACTCTCAGTTCTCCCAGGGGCACCAACAACAACAGCTGCAGCCGACAAGCCTAGCGCCTCAGCCAACTGGATTCCCAGGTGGACAGCTTCAACCTCAATTTACTGGCTTTCCAGGAGCTGCAGGGCCCCAGCAGGGTTTCAACAATTTTGGCCAACAGCAACAACAGCAGCAGCAGCAGCCGCATCTGCAACCACAGTTCACCGGTTTTCCTCCCCAAAGTCAACCGCCACAGGTCTCTATACAGCAATCTGCACCACAGCAATACCCTACATCCTCTGGGGTTCCTTCGATTTCGGTCCAAAAAACCTCCAGCCAGATCGCGCAGTCGTTTAAAGATCTTGATGCGTCGTCGAAGCCCCAACCGCCACCCAAGTCGGGGTCGAAAATCCCCAATATCCGGCTCTCGTTCATCACAGCGCAGGACCAGGCCAAGTTCGAACAGCTTTTCAAGGCTGCTGCCGGTGATAGTCAAACTTTGGATGGTTTGTAGCAGTTGGCCCATTTCACGCCATGAGAGAATTTATTGGCTGATTGTTGAATAGGAGAGAAAGCCAAAGACCTTCTCCTGCGATCGAAGTTACCCGGCAGCGAATTGGCGAAAATATGGTATGGCTGAAAAAAAAAATATCTAGGAGAACGAGGCCATCTAACAAGAGCAGGGTGTTGTCAGATACGACCAAGTCCGGCCAGCTGTTCTTTCCGGAGTTCGCGCTCGCCATGTATCTTTGCAATTTAAGATTAACCGGCAAAGAACTCCCAGATGTCCTTCCTGAGCGTATCAAGAACGAAGTATCCAGCATGGTTGATATTATCTCCTTTGGCGTTCCGGACACGCAACCAGAGCCAAAAACAAATGTTCCCAAATTTGATGCACCCCTCCTGCAGAACACATCGGCGCCTCCCGCTCCCAAGCAGCCGCAGCCTCAGCAGCCCTCAAATACACAGCTGCTCTCACAGCTCACATCTCAACCTACGGGGTTCTATAACCAGGCAACCGGCTTCCAACCCCAGCAGACAGGATTTCCCGGTCCCAACCAGAGCCTGGCACCTCAGCCGACGGGTTTCCCGGGGCAGCCTCAAACTTCTCAGCCCCAGCAGACAGGGCTCATGAACAACCCTCAACCTACAGGATATAATGGACCGCGCCCTCCGATGCCTCCAATGCCCACTGGGTTCGGATCGAATCCATCACCTTCTCAGACCGGGCCGGCGCCCCTGACAGCTCAACCTACCGGTGCTCCGGGGCAGTGGGGCTTCGTCAACACTCCCCCAACCGGACTACCCAACCTCGAAGCTTTGAAAAATCAACTCATGCCCCAGCCTGGTCGGGAAGGAGGGTTTACCACTGCGGGAATCTCTGGCAACGCAACGATCCCGTGGGCAGTCACAAAGGAGGAGAAGAAGATCTATGATCAACTCTTCCGAGCGTGGGATGGTCTCAATAAAGGCTACATCGGTGGTGACACAGCGATTGAGATCATGGGTCAAAGCGGTCTCCCGAGGGAGGATCTGGAGCGAATTTGGACTCTGTCCGATCCCCACAATCGAGGAAAGTTGAACATGGATGAGTTTGCGGTTGCAATGCATTTGATTTACCGGAGACTGAATGGATACCCCATTCCAAACCGCCTACCTCCGGAATTGGTTCCGCCATCCACGAAGAATTTGAATGATTCAATCGGAACTGTGAAATCTATGCTGTCACAGGATGCGGAAAACCGGAAGGCTTCTGGCGCATTCCTCCAGCCTCAGAAGACGGGCGTCAGCTACTTGAAGGAACACTCGTTCCGTAGTAGTTCAACGTCTCCGGGATCCGGTCGCCGAGATGCGACTTTGTTCAAAAACAATGACGATTTCGTGGCGTACAAGTCGAGTGCCCGTCGTCGAGTGGGCAATGAGGGCAGGACGCCTTCTCCCGCCACCTCATCACAGGTGTCGGAGAAATCTGAGGATGAGTTGACTGTCGAACAGCTCAAGAAGAAGATCCGTGAAACGAAAGTCATGCTCGATGCCGTAGACTTCAGAGACCAGAATCAAGCCGAAGAAGACGAAGCTCTTGACCGAAGAGATCGGAGAGAGGCAGAGAGTCTCATGGATCGTATCCGAAAAGTGCAAGATGAGATTGACACCCATCCTAACGCCGCCTTCCGTCATCTTGATTCTGGAGCTGAACGAAGATTCCTGCGTCGCCAGCTTCAGACTTACCAGGATCAGATCCCTGAAATTGCCTCCAATGTCCGTAAGGTCGAACGAGCTATCGCAGAGGCGAGGCTTGAATTGTTCCGTCTGCAAGATGCCAAGGCCCATCCAAACAGTGCTCTCAACATTATTGGCACTGGCCCAGGTGGTGCTGTCACCGAAGCTGATCGCATCAAAGCCCGCGCGCGGGCCAGGATGCAGGCGCGCGCCGCTGAGCTTGCTGGAAGGCCAGTACCTGCGACGGATGACGAAGAGGCGGCAACTCGCCGTCTCGAGGAGGAAAATGCTAAAATCAAGGCGGAACGCGAGCGAAACGAAGCCATGACACGAGACGTTGAAGACAGTGTTAAGGAATTCTCTCGTAGTCTTGAGGATAGTCTGAAAGAGGAAGACGAGAATTCTACTCGGGAACACGAGAGACGCAGGTGGGAAGAAGCACTCGGCGTGGAGGATACAATCAGGGATTTCATTTACGATCTACAGCGCAGCAGCAGGACGGCCAAAATCCGCAAAGAAGAGTGCGTATTCCTCTGATTTGGTGTGTTTAATTCATTATCTGACAAGTCTGCAGGCAACAGAAACAGTCATACTCGAATGAACAGCCTTCTACCAGATCCGACACCACAGAAACCCCGGCTCGGCCTTCTCTGACTCCAACAAGCTCTTCTGGATCTTTTGCAGGGCTCACTCACGAAGAGCGTGTGGCCTCCGCAAGGGAACGGGCTCAACGGCGTATTGCAGAGCGTATGGCGGCTGCTGGCCTTAAACCATTCACTGATACAGGGGATACTTTGCTACAGCGTCAGGAACGAGAGAGAAAGGAGCGTGAAGAGAGACTGAAACGAGCAGAAGAGGAAGATGCCAAACGAGAACAAGAGAGGCAGCGTCGACTTGCGGACGAACGAGCACCACAGCCCCCTTCGGCTGCTAAACCAGCCGGCAAGAAGCCTCCACCAGCTCCCCCATCACGCAAAGGAAGAGCAGATAGCGCCGGTCAAGCTGATGCAAAGAAAGCCGAAGAAGAAGCCGCAAGGGCAGCCGAGGCTCAGGCTGAGCAAGCAGCCAAGGAGCGTGCTCTTCGAGAAGAGCAAGAGGCTCAGGAGGCCGAGAGAAAGCGTCTCGAGTAAGTATTTGACTTCGCCCCACTCCTTTCCTTCTTTGACTAACTGATTCTCGTAGGGAGGAGGCTAGACAACAGGAAGAAGAGCTCCAGAGAGAGAAGGAGGCACAGGAAGCTCGCCTCCGTGCTCTGGAGGAGGAGGTCAGACAGGGCAAGATCAAGAAGCAGGAGGAAAAACGGCGCAAGCAAGCAGCGGAACGTGAAGCAAAGGAAAAGGAAGCTAGGCTTGCTGCACAGCGAGCGGAGTTGGAGGCAGCCAGGGAACGAGAGCGAGAACTTCAACGTCAGCTCGAGGAACTCGAGGAGAGTTCGTCTGACGATGAGGGGCCTATCAACATCACTCCTCAAGACAGCACCCCGACTCAAAGCCAGGTCCTCCCCTCAACAACTGTCGCCTCTCCTCCACCGCCACCTCAGGCTCCATCCGTGCCAGCTCCGCCTCCGCCTCCGCCTCCGGAGCCCGAGAAAGAGCCCGGTACGACGGCAAGCTCTCCGTCTAGCAGTCGTGGAGCCCCCGCTACGGAGTCCAAGAACCCCTACTTCCGGAAGCTCAGCCAGTCTGCAGACAGCCAGCCTAGCGATCCAACTTCTCCTCCGCAGGCCCCTTCCCAGGCTGCTGTAACCTCGCCCAAATCCGACATTCCGTCCACCAACCCTTTCCATCGACTTGTACAGCAGCAGGAAAGTGCCAAGTCCGCCTTCAGTGCCACCCCAGTTCCAGGGCCCCTGGAGCGCAAGTCGCGTGTGCGTCCGGAGGATGACGATTGGTCTGTTGCGGAGTCTGAGAATGATTCGTCCGATGACGACGACGATCGAACTGGTGGTGGCAGCGCAAAGCAACTCGCCAGTATCCTGTTTGGCACTATGGGACCCCCTCGACCGTTGAGTGCCACGGATGATAAGTCGCCGTCGAAGTCGGCCACCCCTGTACAAGAGAGCTCTCCTGTGCCGCCGCCGCCGCCGCCTCCTCCGCCAGCAGCTCCTCCAGCCGTCCCGGAGACCAATGGATCATCCGAAGCATCACCATCTGCGCCTCCGCCTCCGCCGCCTCCTCCTCCCCCACCTCCAGGGCCAGGATCTGATGCTCCATCAGTTCCGCCCCCGCCTCCCCCTCCCCCTCCGGAGGGTGCTCCTGACCCACCACCACCTCCTCCTGCAGGTCCCCCAGTTGCCGTGGGAGGAGGAGGACCACCGGATCGCAGCGCTCTCCTTGCCTCTATCAAAGCTGGAAAAGGTCTGCGGAAGGTGGAGACGAAGGATCGCAGTGCAAGTATATTTGCTGGCCGCGTGTTGGACTAGAAAGTGTGGACTGCGGAGCATAAACCCAGATTTTCGGTTTGGCCTGTAGATTCTTTTTTTATCTTCTCTATATTCTCTCTTCACCCATTCAGGATGTATGTATCTATCTCCCCAACTAGTTCTGTAAATTTTTTTTCAAGAATCTTATATCATTCATATCCATTGGCCGAGCCTCCAGTATTGACAGTCAGAATCATTGTCCTTTGCACTATCATCATGATGATGTCTGTACAGAACAGAACAGGATAGTATAGACCCGGACTGAGGTACGTGAGGTAGGGTAGGTACAGTACGTAAGTTTATGCATGACATACAAGAGAATCAATCCACAAGTCAACAATACCATCGCGTGTATACGAATAATAAGAGGACCGCAGAGAAAACAAAGAATACTTCTTTCCACCCTCGCGGCACTAGAATCGCGCAATTTATTCACGACAAGACACTATCCAGCTAACCAACCAACAAACATGCCCTTCTCAGAAGACGAAACACGAGGGGGAAAAAAGCCTGCCATAACGCCATAGTGCATAGTATATAATGGAATAACCAATGCGAGACAGATGTTTGAAACGTTTTTCATGCTCTTGCTGAAGCGTACTGTACGTAAAAATTTAAGCGGCAATTTCCGTTATCACGTTAGCCAAGGTACTTATACTCCAAAGTGCGACGAGACCGCAGCCTATTTTGCGATCCATCCTCCAATGGTTCAGTGGGACGATGATGAGGAGTCCCACAAGGGTAACTAGCAGGGTCACCCCGCTGATAAAGAGGCTTTTCGAGATGGTGATCTCGTATGGATCGGTCACAACCGCGTGGATCGGAACCGCGGTGGTGGATATGTAAGGCTTTGGGTGTAGAGTCATATATAGACCGCCTACGCCTATGCCTAGGAGGATATTCAGCATCGGCCCGCCAAAACATGCGCTAAGAGCCATGACGGGATATCCTAAACGAGCCACGGTGATATCGGCCACCAAGTCACCCAATGAGTTCCCCACGGCAAACACGGTGAGTCCCAGAAGCGAGTCGCTGATGTCGAGGATGACTCCCAGAGTCTTCAGGAGACTGACCACTTCGTTTGCGATGGTCGCAATCCAGCAGATACCAACGACAAAGCCGAGGAAGGCAAGGAAAGGACGCAGTTGGTTCGGCGGTTGGGGGTAAGCCCGCCCTCTCAAAAGCAAGTTCAGCAGCGTCGCACAGATCAGGGAAACCGGGAGACAGGATAGGATGGGCAGGAGAAGTTTCCGAGGAACCCTGTCTGGGTCTAAGTTCAACCATCCCACAAGGATGATGAAGAGAGGAGCGGTGAACAACTGGATTGAGACAAGCCAGCGATGCCATTCCCTCGCCGGCGGGGTAGAGGCGTCAGCTGAGGATTGAGGTTGCCTGACGGGCGTCTCAGAGTCAAACCGTGGTCGCATCGTCGATGGGTGAGCGTGGTTTCCTTTCTTAGAGCCACGCGCTTGATTTCGCTGGGCCTCGCTGAACTCGCTGCTCTGGGGTCGGAGAAGAGGAGAGTCATCCGGCAGTCGGACCAAAGGCCTCCGCTCGTTCTCATCATTCGCTGTGGACTGCTGGGAGAAGTCTGAATCCGATTCCGAGTCACTCCGTTTGGGATCGACCACTGGAATCGTGATTGTCAGGAGGAATACACTCGGGGCTGCAACGAACCCCAACAGCTTCTCCCACACATTCTTCGCCTGCCAATCGTACAAAGTGGGGAACAGGGTTGACATCAAGAGCCAGGGCGGAGGGAGGAACCAATAAGGCCACCATCTCCATCGTTTGGTTGCACGGTCCATGTCCTCGATAAAATGATCATCCGCCTCCAACAGCTCCGAGGAGGAGACGGATGTAGGAGGAAGATGGATGCTGAGTTCCCTGGAGGACGGCGAAGGAGAGGTGTCTGAGAAGGGCGGGAAGGGAACTGATGGACTTTCGCTGGCCTCGGGCTCAGAGCTGATAGAGATTTGAGGGACCTGAGCGGTCGACAACGGAGAAACACCGCCGGGAGAAACTCCTAGGCGACGGGGGCTTGCCTGGTAATTCGGAGTACGAAAGAGATCGTTCGGTACTGTGAGATGGTCAGAGGACTGAGTCTGCGTCCGGCCGGCAGGAACCGGACTCTGACTACGCGACGGGAATCCAGAGGAGGTTGGAGAAGCTGTCAGCATTGCTGATGAATCGATGCGCAGAAACTCAGCTTGAGGACTGGCCCCTGCGTCGGGGGTTTTCGAGGTCTCCCCGGGATCAGTGTACGACGCGATGTTGCGCGAAGGTGAGCCTTTCTTATCGACAACGCTTGTATCAAGACGCAGCGGTGGTGCGTCATTCATCGACACCGATCGATGACGGTTGATCCGACCCTCTTCTTGCCCAGCTCCAGTGTTCTCTGGAGGGTGTGAAAGAACGGAAAGATTGTCCACATGCCGTGACGGTGCTTGGTGCGGATCATCGGTGTAGCGCTGAAGATCGATGCGATCATTCAGCAGGTTCCTCGACCGTCTGAGAGATGAGAGCACCGACTGAAACTCAAGAGCACCGACTAGACTGGGGCGGATCGCATTGACCGTTGGGCGTCGTCGGGTCGGCGTGGGTCGGCTGACGTGCATATTCTCCCGAATCTCTGCGAGATATCGATTGTGAGTTTCGTCATCTTCATCGTCCTTCCAGGCCGGCCAGACCGTCCGCTCGAGGGCCTCGAAATCGGCCGTCGATGAACCGTGGAGCGGGGTCCTGGTCTCGCCCGCGATGGGATCGTCATCCGGAGCACGCTCTTGCAGATCCAACTCCTCCCTCTCTGGAATGTGGAAATGGGCCCGCGCAGCCAAGTCTCGTTCATATCGTCGGCGCTGTCGAGTGAGATACCAGTGCCACAGCACGACCATCAGGACGTAGAAAAGGTAGAGCCCGATCATTGTCGTGGACTCCCAGACATGGAGCTCACCGTCCGCCAAAGCGATCATGCTAAAACCCGCGGCGATGATGAAATAACCGACGTCACGGACGAAACTTCGTCGAGCCACCCGGAAGGGTCGAACCAGGGCCATCGAGCCGGCGACGACGGCAGTAATGAAACAAGCAGCGCCAATAAGCTCACCAACGGCCAAGCTGCCACTATTGGAGCTCATGGCTGCAAAGGTCGAGAAGACATCGGGACTGCCATTCCCAAAGGCGAGAAACGTCACACCGGTCAAGCTTTCGCTCATGCCCAGGATGCTGGCGATCGTGCTCAGATTGATACAGAGAAAGTCACTGGCGGCAATGCCGATGGTGCTGAAAAGCAGCGAAAGCCACAGGACGAGGATAATAAATGCGAGGGGTTGAACATGGCGGAGCGTGCAATAATAGAACTGGAGGTAGGAGAACAGGCCTTCTTCGTCGGGGCAGTTGGAGCGCACGAAGGCACATTGATCTTCAGCATGACGAACGAGGCGACACTGTACAGTTTGGTCCCGTCAGTGAGATGATCAGGAAAGCAACGCATAATGTGTACACAGTACCTCTAATTCCTCTGCTGGGGCTCTGGTCGATTCTGAGACGGGTCCCGTCCTGCCGTCCGGTATCACTGCTCTCTTGCCCAGAGACGGATGAAGGGACCGTAGCTCCCCGGACCCCCGAGTCCCCCAACTCAGCACCACGAGGAGGCTGATCGCGATGATTGTCAGGAAGAAGGCATGAGCCGAATAAGGGCCATTTTTCCTCGTGCGCACCGTGACGGACGGGCGGGAAAAGGGTGCTGGCGGACTGCGCATCACGGGGGCATCATGAACCGAGTTTCCACGGTGCTGCCGGAAGGAGCCAGAACGGTGGAACGTAGAGCAGTTCGAGCGACCTTCCTACAACAAATGCAGAATAATATAAGATGGGCTCTGCCAGCTGCAGAGGATAATTCATGCCAGGCCAAATCAGCCCATGGCGGAGCAGAGGGGAAGAAAGGGAATCGATCGCACGAGACCAATAACCTGGGATGGCCGTGATGCCTGCAGATCGGCGGGCATGAGATTAGCTAGTGACCTAAGAGTAAGGGTGGCTACTGGCTCGTGCCAGACTCGGAAGTGGTTGATGTCAGCTCTGGCGCGGCGCCAAGCTAGGAGGGGAGTCTGTGGCAGTGCGCAGTGCAGGAATTACAGATTATGCCTTATCATTAAGCAAATCCTTCTCCATACAAGTTGCTAACGGTATGCCTAGGTACCCTACACAAAATAATACAGCCAACTGCGTGGGAAAGTAAACATCGACATGTGATTAGGACGATGCTGAATTGGGCAGCCACATGGAGGACAGCCATGACCAAAAAGGAAAGGGCGGCCCTGACCACCGGATCACGTGGCGGGCGTGCATGGGGCATGCGCGGGTGGTCGCTGCGGCACCCCGAATGTTTTGTTGACACTGCGCTTTCCGTCTTTGTCACAACCACAACGCAACAAACGGCAAGTGCAACTCAGCGGCCAAGTCGACGCTTCGCAGTCGCTTTTGAGCTTGTTCGAGACGGTGGCGCCGGCTTTTCTACAGCAATGAGTATTTGACAGCGCCTCTATTTCCTTACATCCTTCTTGTTTTAATACCTGTTCCTTCTGATCAGCCAGCACTGCGCCTTTGATTCACCATGCCGCGCGTGGCCAATCCCTCCAAGAGCCATCGGCGCTCCAATGGCGCCTCGACGCCGCACAAAAACTCTCCCATCAAGTATGGAAAGAGCGACGCTTTGCGCCGATGGTTGCTGACGCTCCGCACAGGATTCCCCTCAATGATGACATGGGAGAGAAGGCGGCTCGGTTGCAGTCGCGACAAGCCCTCCATGACCGCCAGATGGACCAGATCAAGGCTGCCGTCAAGACGCCTATGCCCCCGCGCAAGACCACCCACGACCGCGCCGGCAGTAACAGTCCTCTCACGCCACGAGGTTCGGCCCGAGGGAGAGAAAGCGACGTGGATGGCCGTGGCAGAGGTGCCACGCCGATGAAGAGAGTGCCGATCTTAGCCAATTTCGAGGAGTGGATGAAGATGGCGACCGACAACAAGATAAATGCGAGTAATTCGTGGAATTTCGCCCTGATTGACTATTTTCATGACATGTCCCTGCTCCGTGAAGGCGATGGCGTGAATTTCCAGAAGGCCAGTTGTACTCTTGATGGCTGTGTGAAGATCTACACAAGCCGAGTTGACAGTGTCGCAACGGAAACTGGAAAACTCCTGAGCGGTCTGGCCGAAAGTCGGGATCGCAGGGCCCAAGAGACGGAGGCCGAGGGTGCGGAGGGAGAGGACGAGGAAGAGGAAGAAGAAGGCGAGGATGGAGAGAGGAGAAAGGCCAGGAAGAAGGTGAGTAACTATAAATATGGAAAAAAGAAAGGGTCTCTCTGTTCCACAATGCTGATCGCAGGTAGACGCAACGGTCACATGAAGCTACTCTCGCGCCGTCCTTCGCAGCATTACAGCTGAAAAAATTTGAACTTGAGTTTGCTGTAGACCCATTGTTTAAGAAGATGTCGGCGGACTTTGACGAAGGAGGAGCTAAAGGGTTGCTGCTGAACCATCTGTCGATTGATGGGCAAGGACGCATCGTATTTGATAGCAGTGACGATGTGGACGAGACAGCTGCAGAAGCAGATCACAAGGAGGGGGATGAGTCGCAACGAAGCACAGCGGAACCTGAGGAACCTGGATCTCCCTCACCTCGTCCCAGGAAGGAAACCGAAGAGGAACCGATGGAAATTGACCTGGCTCCGCTAGCCAACAAATTCTTTCCCGATCTCGGCCGTCTCGACGAACAGGACATATGTCCATCCCTCAAAAACTTCGATTTGGGCGACCCGAGCGGTTCCCTTGATATTCCGCTGTTGAAAGCTCCGGAAGAGTGGCGTCACGATAAGCCCAATGAGGAAACCGGCAGGATGGGAGACGCTTCCGGGATCATGCTCGACGACGACAATGCGGTCGGCTTCGATGATGACGACGCGACCTTTGCAGGATTTGACATTGGTGAAGACGCCGGCTTCGGAGAAGGAGGCGAGGTCTGGGCCCGAGAGGCGGCGCTGGAGCCAATGCTCAAAGTGCATCGGATGGACATTGATGGGGACGGTCAGGACGGCGAGGGTGAATTTGATCAGGATGATGCCTATGCGGTGTCCCTCTCTCACCAGCCGGCGAACAAAGAGCACGAGAACATTCTCAGCTACTTTGATAATGCACTGCAAAAGAACTGGGCGGGCCCCGAGCACTGGCGAATCCGAAGAATCAAAGAGAATGCTGCTGCCAATTCGACGACTGCGGCGCCCAAGCCGCGCAAGGAAAAGGAGCCCTTTGAGATCGATTTTTCTGCGCCCCTGGACCCTGCGGTAGCAGAGTTGATCTACACCCAAGCCAGCTCCAACTCGGCCATTTCGATGCCTAAGGCGCAATGGAAGACAAAGGGACGCAACCTGCTTCCAGATGATAAACACTTCAACTCGCAGCAGTTGTTGCGTCTCTTCCTTAAACCCAAGGCCCGCATGGGCTCCAAGAGAGTCCTTGGGGTCCGCAAGACGAACGATTCGCGGCAACAAAATCAAATGCCGGCTGCCGGGGAGATGGACGAGGCGTTCTGGGCCAACCACAAGCCCGAAAACGACACGACGGCAGCGGAGGAGGGCGCAGCGACCGGCACGTACGATGCCAACTTTTTCAACGATGATGATGGTCTCGCGTTCCCCAACGGTCTGCCCCTGGGTGACGACGATGACGATAACGTGCCGTTCGCAGATGCACGGGAAATGTTCTCTCCCCCTGGGGATTCCGACGCCCGTCCCACGACGTCCGCTGGCGACGGGGCCGGAGCGTCCGGACTGACGGCGCTCTTGAACACGGTGGGCGCGACTCCTGGTTCCGCCCTCCACGGTGGAGGATTTGGGTCGCAGCTTGTCACCCAAGGAGGACGCCGGGTACGGCCCGACTACGTCGCGTACGCGCGGGTTGCGAAGAAGGTCGACGTCCGGCGCTTGAAGGAGGAGATGTGGAAGGGCATGGGAGATCGATTAGTCGAGTCGACCGACTTCAACTCAGCGTCGGAGGCCGCTGCCGTCACTGCTCCCCCTCCGGAACCGGACGAAGATGACATGCCACCGACGCCCACACCGAAGAACCGTCATCCTGAACCTGCGGCTGGGAACACAACCCCGGCGGAAAAGGACGGTCGGTTACGCTTTACGACCGTGATGAATTCACTCAAGAACGTATACCCGGAACAAGCGCTGCGGGACATTAGCACGTCGTATGGCTTCATCTGTCTCCTCCACCTGGCCAACGAGAAGGGCCTTGTCCTGCAAGGAGGTGATCCGTTCAGCGAGGGAGACGGCAACTTGGAAGAGATTTATATTTCCAAGGATGTTGGAGCGGTGATCGAGAATGGGGCGATGTAGAGCGACGACGTCTGTCTCTAGATTCTGACAGGAGTAAATATCTGGTGTATGTCGTACAGATTTTTCAGTCAGGGGAACTGTCTGCAGCGGCGTTATGGGAGTTTGATTTGGATGGGAGGTTTGATCTGGAATCGAGTGATGGCTTTGCTGTGGTTTGATGAGAGATACGCAATATATGACCTAGTCTACATATTTAGTCTTACAAGCACTGTTCCCTTATTCAAGTCTGGTAGCATGTTGTATCTCTTCTCTTTCTTTTTAAGGCAAAAGTAACTGAATGGAAATACAAACAATTCCTGTCAGGACATGGCACGTGTTCTAAGTGCTGGTCATGGAGATCACCTGACATGATGCTACACAGAGCGGCACGTGCAGCAACCACCCTGTCCACGCTGCTTGCAGGCGAGCATTGAGAATGTGACTGCCAGTGCAGATGGTGTGTGATGGGAATAAGCGATGGGCAGGCCAGTCGGGAAACCCAGACTTGGAGAACAGCAACCATGCAATTTCCCTTGTCCGTGACAGACTATTATTATCTTTCTTTGTTTCTGCGAGAATTATCCTCTGCTTAGGAGTCCTTATATGCCGGAGAACGTACCCTAAGCTAAATCTGCCTAGGTAGTACTGTACTCCATCCTCCCACTGCAGGCATGCTCTTCTATTAATTCGCTAATTAATTAATTAATTAACCGACCAGACGTCCTCTTCTGTCTACTTCGTGATTTCTCGACTGCCGTGTGACAAAGACTTGTCCCTCATTTGCAGCGTGGACGACTTGGCCCGCGCTTCGGCAGGCGCCGTGGTTGGTTGGCTCCGTGCTCAGCGTATCGCCCGGAATCGCCATCCGCGCCGCTCATTTGCTGCGAGGGGAGCCGTGTCTGTGATGGACATGCATGCGAGCGATTCTATTTCGCACCCTGCATGGCTGATTTGCTCCCAGCATGCGGAGGCACCGTGCTTCTCCTGCTAGTGTCCGTGATCGCCGTCCATTCACGGTTGCCCTCGATCAGATTTCCCCCGCTGCTGGCTGTTTTTCGCCGGCAATGGGCCCCCAATCCCAGCTACAACCTGCCCTCTGTGCGAATGCCGGGAGCAAGACGAGCCCTTCGTCTTCCAATCAAAGCCTGTGATGCACTGGTGTCCTCTGTCCAGAATGAGGCCGGGCGCTAACATCTGCCTATCCGAGTCGAGCATGCTCACGAGGGGTCCCGCCAGCTCACGATGAAGACAAGCACCCAGGCATAGATATTCGACGGGGTCGAATCCTGTCGGACAAGCGACCCTCTCTGGTAGATCTCTCTAGGTTGTGCCTCCTCTCTTTCTTTCTCTTTTTGCATTTGCTATCCATTGTTCTGCTTGTTTGGAGTCTTCATGCTTGTTTAACCTGCGCGGGTTTCGCAGAAAGCTATCCGTCCATAATTCAATTGATATACACCCTCAAGCCCTCCCACACACGAGGACAACACGGTCAGATCCCGGTGCTGACATTGTGACCTCTGCACCGAAGGGCGAGGCATCTCGGGGAGATCGAAAGAGAGAAGACTGCGATCCTCAGGCGCGGTCACCCCGTCGATTTGCCTTCTCTCAAGACTACTGCGGGTCAGTAGGGAGCAGGTTCTCTCGAATTGGCCTCCTGAGCTCTTTATCTCAGTCTGATCAGTGGGTAAATATCGACCCCTCACGTCAACATCGAGGAAGACCATCTACGAACCAAATCTTTCCCCATGTCACCCAACAGCGACAGTCGCGATAGCAGTCCTCTGACTCACCAACCCGTTGAACCAGTTGATCTTGTGGGTGGCTATTACGACCATCACCGTGGCGGAGGCTCTAGAATGTCCAACCCTGTTCAGTCCGATTCGACTCAGGCACCAGCACCCATCGCCCGCAGTTCTTCCGGATCGTCCTCTGGCTCTTCGCTGAAGAGTCCGCGCACGACACGTTTCGCAGAGGCGACTACAGTAATCTCTCCTATTGGACCCTCGGAAAGTGGACAATCACCTTTCGCGGATCCTCCAGCCATGGCACAGAGCCAGCACCACGTCTCCGACGTGGGATTTGGATATGTCGCCGATAACGACGCCTCGAGGCATGTCTCACATCCTCCGCTGTCTCCGGCATCGCCTCTGAAGAGCGCCCTCAAGAGCCCGTTGACCGGCCGGACATTGAATCCGCTTAGCCCGACCTTCCGAGAAGAGCTCAACTTGGAGAAACAGGAGAAGAAGACGGAGAGGGAGAACGCGCGAGACCTGGTGGGTTTAGAGGACTGCACCCTTCCACAAGCAGGATCTCCCAGTGCTGACGGGTCTCCCAGAAAATCAAAGCCCGAGTCCGACTGGCCAAGGTGCTTCTCCGCTTCGTCAACTTCAGTTGCAGTTTGATCGTGCTCTCGCTCATCGCGACCACGTTCTCTATCTTCAATGCCACCAAGAACCTTCCGCCTCGCAACAATCTGCCCCCCTGGGCAATCGGGACCAATCCATGGCCGCAGATCCTCCTGCTGGTGCTGTCCTGTATTTCGCTATTAACCTGCCTGATCGTGTTCTGGGGTTATTGGAAAGGGGGCCACCGACGCGCGGAGAAAGTCGCGGTGTATTATTCCGTGTTTTCGGTGTGTTTCTTTATTTTCAGCTGCGTCATGTGGGTGGTCGGGGCCGCCCTCTTCCAGAACGCCAAAGCAAGTGGGAATGGCCAGGACCTGTGGGGTTGGTCGTGCAACCAGAATACGCGGGAACAGCTCTTTCAGAATGATGTCAACTACAGTTTGATCTGTCGTCTGCAGGACTGGTCTCTAGTGTGCGCCATCATCGAAGTGGTCATCGAGGTCATTGTCATTCTGATCTATGCGGTGGTCTTCTACCGCTTTTACTCGAAGCAACGCCTCCGCAAGACAATGGATCTCCGGGATAAAGCGCGGTCCGATCTATACCTGGCCCAGCTGCGGGTGCAATCGGCACCAAACACGCCTGGGTTCATGCCACACACCCCCAAATCCCCCTACATGACGACAGTCATGCCGACACAGGACGCCTACTCGGCGGCGGAGAACGGGGAGAACTATTCTGTGCAGTACGCGACTCCCAAGTCGCCTGAGAAGGCGGCCCAAAAGCCATTCCAGCTGCAACCGCCACCGATCCGAGTTCACCATGCCACCCCGAAGCCGGCTCAAGAAGGCTTCGCTCCAACTTCCGGAGCCCCGACTTCCGAAGCCGCTGCTGCCGCCGATGCCCCTGGACCGTCGGAGAGACCATCAGAGCAGGTCAACCCGCATGTCGGTGCTGCGCCGGGAGAGAAGACCTACGAGCCTGTCCCGATTCCGAGCGCCTATACCAGCCCAGTGACAAGCCCCAGTTTCCCTCCTCCGGCGGCTCAAGCCCATCACTCCTCCATGAGCTAGACTTTGAATGAGGTCCGATGGACTGTCCACTACCAAGTTTATTTCAGAATAAACCTAGCCCACCTGTACAGATCTGCACTGATACCTTATCCTTTTTTTCGTTGGATTCTTTTCTTTCCTCATTTTGACTATTGACTCGAGTCGTTCATGAATCTACCTGGGTAGTAATTAGGCGGATTGGGCGTTGCTTCCACGAATCTCATTTCGGCGTTGTTCTCGAGAGATCTCATCCTGAGATATAAGATATATACCCCATAACCATAATACGAAAGTGAAACCATGGCAAAACGAAGCGGGACCTTCTTTGATTCTCTTCTTTTTTTTTTGGGATCATTCAGATCATCCAGTTTTCCAATTTATCGAATGTGTACGTATGGTCATAACTCGCTTTTCTGTAAGGAAAACAAGAAATAAGAAGGGCATGACTGCGGTTTTTCAGAGAGCTCTCCGAAGTCCCTTGTAAATATAAATATACTATCTTTCCTGATTGGGGCATTGACAGCTCCTGGCGTTTCGAGGATGTGGGAGAGCTGCTACACGTACTGAGACAGAACCAAGGACCTGAAACAGCCTGATCAAACGAAGTGAAGCTATGATCTGTGGAGGCTGTAGGTAGATACCTGATTGGCATGCTGACTGCAAGATAATATACAGATTGCATATTCTTTGCAGCGAGTAGCATGGGCGTTGCCCACGAGGATGTAACGATTCTTGTACTGTACTCCGTACAGTGCTCCTTACCCCAGATAAGATCGGGGCGATCTCTTCCTGAGTTAGTTAGATGGCTTGGTGGTCCCACTACAATGCAAACTATTACGCCGTAGTAATAATGATCATCATCAGGTATCCGATGCATGACGCTACAGGGGCCAATGTAATTGTATCAATCAACTTCTCACGTGCCCTGCATACGCGGCCGCACTCAATCCCGTTCTTGACAATAAGGAAGAACTTCCTACACGCACTGTCGTACTTTATTTGCACTTCCTACAGCTTTAGCAATGTAATCGATGTGATTGCAATGCTCCCCTGCCCAGAATCTCTAGACACTGCCAAGCCACACCGGTGTCCAGCGCAGCGGAGAGATCCTCTCTTCCGGAGCTGCTGACAGGTCGATCGATTCCATTGATATTCTCCTCCAAGACTTCTTGGGTAATAGTTCTTCCTCCACTGAGTCCACTCTGATCAGCACGGAGGAGAGTTCCGAGAAATTCTTCTAGAAATATTTGCTCCGTACCGGAGTATCTTTTTTTTTTTCTGTTACGATTCTGTTTCTGTTCTCCTCTCTTACTCTTAATGGGATGATTGTGATGCCCTCTCCTCCCGTGACCTTATCTGCGTCGACTGTTACATTCGGGGCATTCTCCGTCCGGTTCTTGACCCTTTGATTATGCTGTTGCTCCTTTGGTCGTTGCTGTCCTTCCTTCTCGTCCTTGACCTGTCCGTCCTGGCCGATTTCGACTATTTCGAAGACGATGATCTGACATCGTTTGTCACGGTTAGTTCAGACCTGCTCCGCATCCATAATTCCGTGCAACGTATTGTACCAATTTAATTCTAACCTCTCCCATAGAGGCCTGAAATTAAGGCTCCTAAATTCGACGTTGTTGTGCACGATCCGGCTCTCGTCACTCCCGGATACTGGTTCGTCGCCCCGTATGCGAATATCGAGCCTGATCCTCCGACCAAGAAGTATATGCCCTGTCAGATTGGGCCGCATATCTATGATGCTGATGGGGTACGTCTTCCATAGAGATATGGGGGAGCTTGGCCGGGATACAGTTGGCTGACATTGATATGGGAGGGAATTGCAGAATCTGGTCTGGGCGGGATCCTGTGACTACAAGAATCAAAACATCTTCGACTTCAAGGTTGTCAACAATATCGACGACAAGACCCACTTGTCATTCGTTGTCGAACACGCTTTCCAAAACGAAGGGGATCGCCGGGGTGGAGGCCACCTCCTGAACAGTCATTACGAGTACGAAAATGAGGTCCCCGTCACCAACGACCTGGGGGCATTCGATATTCATGAGTTCAAGATCCTCGACGGCGGCAAGACGGCCCTCGTGACTGTATACAGGCCCGAAGTTCTCAATCTAAGCGGTATCAACCTACCTACGGAGCAGGGCTGGGTCATGACGGGTGGCTTCGAAGAACTCGATGTCGCAACTGGCCGCGTCCTCTTTGAGTGGAGGTCGTTCCCACAGATTCCGCTGGAGGAGAGTACTACTCCTTTCCCCGACATTCCGAGTATGTATCCTCCCGGCTGGGACTACCTCCATGTCAACTCAGTGGACAAAAATGCGGATGGGGACTACCTGCTGTCGGCTCGATTCACAGACACCATTTACCTGATCTCCGGGCAGGACGGGCATATTATCTGGCGACTGGGGGGCCGTAAGTCGGATTTCGTGCTCGAAAACTTCCGCTTTTCCCGACAGCATCACGCCCGCTTTCTGGAGTCCAACAGCACTCACATCACCATTTCCTTTCTCAATAACGCATCCGATGAGGAATCCCAGAATGAGCCCCAGTCGTCTGCGCTCATTGTTATCTTGGATATCGCCGCGTCTCCAATGACAGCCACTGCTATCAAGCGCTATAGTCGTCCCGATGGTGGCCTAAGCCGGCTACGCGGCAATGCGCAACTATTGCCCAATGGCAACATGTTTGTTGGCTGGAGTGAGCAGGGTTATCACAGCGAGTTTACCCCCGATGGCACCTGTGTGATGGAGGCGCGGTTCATCTCCGACCGCTTTTCCACCTATCGAGCCTACAAGTTCGATTTCCACGGCCGCCCACAGACTCCTCCGGACCTCAAGGCATTCGTTTACGGGTCTCCATCGTCCAGCCCCACGACCGTCTTCTACGTGAGCTGGAACGGCGCGACGGACGTGGCGTCATGGAATTTCTACGCACGAGCGACCGCGGACGGTCAGTCTGTGCTTATCGGCAATGCGCCCAAGACTGGCTTCGAGACGATGTTCGTCTCGGACGGCTACATGGATTGGGTTTCGGCGGAGGCTCTCGACGCGGACGATACTCCCCTGGGTATATCAGAAATACACAGGACCATAGTCCCGAACGACTGGCTCGCGGCGGGATTTGGCTTGGATGAGAATCGCCCCGTGCCGCAGGATCCGGAGACCGTCGTCGGTGGGAACGACGACGATGCTCCTTCGGAGATGGAACATGGAGATGAACATGCAGATGAGCATGCAGCAGCCACAGGAGCAGACGCGACTCTGGCGCATGAATTCCTGGGCGGAATCGGCGGACTGCTGGTCCTGATCCTCGTCATGACCTCCATCGGATTGCTCGCAGGCGCTTCGATCTGTGCGCTCCGAGGACGAAGGCATCGCCGCCGCCAGGCTCGCTATCATGAGAAGATCCTTTCCGAGGAGGCCGAGACTGAAGCCACTCCCTTGACAGCGGCACAACCTACGAGGTCGGATAATACAAATCCGGCTCGTTGACTGAAGAGAGAGGTTAAAAAAAAACTTACCACAGATAGAGAGGTCGGGAGCTTTTTTAACATATATAATTACATTTTTTAATTTACCTTTTCATGTCTGGATATTGGCTGATATTCATATCATGTGATATCATATCATGTCATGGCGAGGATGGCGGCGCTTCTGGTTTTCTAGGCGTCAGTCTGTCTGGCTTTTGTCATTGATCAATTTGTCGTTCTCGTTCCTCCTGTCTGTGTTCTTCTGCCAGCTGGCTGGTAGACTTGTTGGAGCTGTGTGCCGAGTGATTTTCTACTATGAGCAAAAAAAAATATAGATTCACGAAATAGGGAAAAGAAGTCGAGTAAAGTCATTTGCATTCTTGCAACTAACTAAATTAAACCGCAGAGCTTGATTGATCATAAAACACCGTAAAGAAAATCAGACTGTGGACTATCTGGTTCCGTGAGCATTAACTTTTGTATGATGAGATGAGCGGACCAGGAGTCAAGTCGCACAGCTGAAGATAAAAAAGGAATGGAGAAAGTAAAAAACAGCTTTCAAACCAGAAATTCTAAAACAATTTGTGTGTTTGGGAAAAAGAAGAAGAAAACAAACAGGAGATGTTACACTTGTAGAAAATCATCTGCAGTCTCGAAATTTGGATTGTTTTCTGACAATGTGAGCCAGTGGTATCGTACCGGCAAGAGATATTTCGACATTCCGACTGGTTCAAATTGAAAATGGTCCATCCTAAAAAGTAATGGTCAGCACTTTGCGAGCCTTGACGGGCCCCATCTTCGCCATCAACTCCCGAGCGATGCGTTCGTCATTTTTGATTTGAAAGGCTTCAGGTTTCATCATCTGCTCCTCTAGCTTCCGGGCGACCTTCTGAAGTTTTTCCTCTTTGAACATGCCCATGTGAAGTTTGACATCGGCATAATCCAGGTCCCTGAAGAATTGTAGGGGCAACGCCCACTTCTCTTCGACCTCCAACCGAATAGGCCAGTCCGCGATGGCGAGATTCAGATGGAGCGATTTCAGTGATGTGAAAGCCTCACACATATCCCCGCAAGTTAAGTACCACCTCATGTCACTGAGACACTTGTAAATGCGGTGCTCCGTGAGTGCTGGCTCGTTATACATGATGTGATGCAGCTCGAGATGGCGGATGGCCGCCTGCGAAACCTTTGCGGTGCGCTTTAGGAACATGTTGATGACCTTTGGAGAGCTGAAAACAAAGTGCGTGTTTGAATACAGGTAAAGGACAGTTTCCAGATAGAGCTTCGAGCAGGTGAGGGCAAGCGCCAGGGGCGGTGAAGCTGACATAGTAGAAATGATGGCATGGCTGTCCACATCGCGTAGCTGGAGATTCCTGTGATAGAGGCGGTACCTTCCTTGTTTCTGACCTTCAAAAGCCGGCGGCTTGTCTCGGATGATGGCCACACGGTAGGTTTCAAAGATGTACTCGTAGATTTTGGTCCGGAGTTCACCGGGCAAAGAGAAGAAGGGGGATTCTCTGGGAAGGGTCTGTGGCACCAAATCGCCAGGTGACAGACGAGTTCGAGGTAAGGCTGCAGCCGAGCGCACTGCTTTGATGAATATGTTCTGAACCGAGTTTGGAGATTTAATAGCACCATTGGCACCATTAAAGCCATTCTGCATCTTGGTCTCTACAGGAGGTTCAACCCGCAGATTCTGAACAGGCTTCTTCCGCATGTTGCCCCTATGAGCCGGGGCATTTTTCGAATTATTCTTTCCCGACTTGATACCCGGAACTGAAGCTGCGACAGACGCGGTTCCCTTGTCAGTCGTAAAAGTCTGTCGCAAGCTTCTTATCAGCACAATCGAATGCCAAGCATAAATCAAACAGAGGGAGGTTGGTCATGCCTTGTTCCATTGAGAACCTGTCTTATTCGCATTGTCTCCATGTTCATGGCCTCCAGTTCGCGAATTGCCACGGCCACGGCCACGACGACCGCGACCGCGACCGGGGCCTCGACCACGTCCTCGAAAGGATCCGCCGCGACCTTTGTTGGAATCGTGATTGTGAGAAGAGGTGGCAGTAGTAATCTTAGAGTTCGACTCCATGACCGAGACTGTTGATCAGTTTTGGTTTCTAAAAAGGACAAATCGAAGTAAGACCAGCAGGATTATCCAGAGAAGGATGCTAGATCTGTTGAGTGAGAGGAACGAAGCAGATGTAAGAGACTCGATGCAACTGAAATGGGGATGTGCAAAAGACTGCTAGAAAGATCAGACTGAGGTGGCTGGGCAGATGAGCAGATGGTTGAGAGTGGGAGCAGGTGACGGTGAAGACAGCGTTCTTGCCTGCTATTGTCTCTGGCCTCCAAGCGTTGTTTCCTGGATGGGAAGGAGGGCAGGTGAATACTGCCAGCCGCCATGCTGACTGGGAGACTGTCATTGGCTGTCCGGCATCACTGCAGAGGCTACGCGCAGAATGCAGACATCAGTGAAGACTGACTGCACAGTTACAGTTGTATTGACAGGATATACATTCACAATGTGCTCACCATACGACAATGCATTAACAATGCTCCAGCTGAAGCCCGCAAATGGGCTTCTGAAAGATACGGATTAACATAGGAAGAAGTGTAGCAATATTCCTGAATGTGGCATATCTACCACCAGTCTCACCCTGGACTCGTGGAGAGCAGCCATATCCTCTGATATTCTTTGCAGTCATGTCTCATCACAAAAATTGGAGTGTGAAATAATAAATTAAGTAGGTCGAAGAAGAGTTGCTGATGCTGGATATAGTTCAGGGATGGCGCTAAACCGCAATGGGCCACTGAGAGCTGCCCGGGCCACCGCCTGCGATTGGTGGATCGATCAGGGGAACGACGCGAGAGAGACGTCGCTCCGTCTTCATCTCCCCAGTTGCACTCTTACGCTTAATTTACCCTGCTCCGTTGACCCAGGAATGCTCTTCCGCCCGCTCGGTGTATCTGGCCGGCTCTTCCAGGCGGCCCAGTCATCGCAATTGTTCGCTCCTGCGGGCAGCATCCTTCGCCAGCGCTCTGCCGCTCGATCATCGCTGCTGCCCCACCATCTCCTCCCACCACTTGTACCAACCGGCCACCGCCATTATTCTCCCACCCCCTCCCCGCACAACAGTCGCTCGCAGTTCAAGGTCCTGCCGTTTGTTGTGATCTTGGCCGTGGGCAGCGGTGCATACGTCCTGCTTGTGAAATCTCGCGCCTCCGCACGCGCCGACGCAAACCAGAAGTCATAAACACCCGCCTTCGATCTACCGGAGGGGATACAGTCCCGGACGCGAAAACGAGTCGATTGAAGCCTCAACAAGAGAAACAAAACGATGGCTACGTCCGCTTCGGCTGATGTTCCTCAGGAGCTCGCGGCTCCCCAGACGTCGAGCAACACCAGTCCGCGCTTCTCCCCCGATGAGGTCACCGTCGTGTTTGTCTTGGGTGGTCCTGGAGCCGGCAAGGGCACGCAGTCCGAGAACCTCGTGCGCGACTATGGCTTCACCCACCTGTCTGCTGGAGATCTCCTGCGGGCGGAGCAGGTGCGTGAGGGCAGTCAGTATGGCGACTTGATCCGCCATCACATCCGGGAGGGAACAATCGTACCGATGGAAGTCACGGTGGCATTGCTGTCGAACGCCATGTCCGACACGCTGGCCAAGGGCACA